TGGGGCACCGCTCCCCGGGCAGCAGCTGTCTCGCCAGTGGGGCACCGCTCCCCGGGCAGCAGCTGTCTCATCAGTGGGGCACCACCCCCAGGCAGCAGCTGTCTCATCAGTGGGGCACTGCTCCCCGGGCAGCAGCTCTCGCCAGTGGGGCACTGCTCCCCGGGCGGCCGGGGCGGTCCATTACCTCGTGAATGGGCTGGTCGGGTGGGTCTGGGCACGCCTCGGCCGCCTCCGCCGGTCCCACCAGCTCCTCCGCCGGCGGCGCTGCGCGAGAAACGGACCGGGCCTGTCACGCGAGGGCTGGCAGGCGACGGCGGGAATGTAAGCACGCTGAGACTGACCGATGTTTCCGTCCGGCACGGCGCCATGAAGCTGAGCGCGCCCGCCGCCGCCCGCCGTGGGTGACGTCCCCCAGCACCCGACCTCCCAGCTGAGCACGAGGTGCCAGCAGATGACATCAGCCCCGATGCTGTCGTGACGCCGAGCGCGCCCGCCGCGGGTGACGTCCCTCAGCACCCGACCTCCCAGGTGAGCACGAGGTACCAGCGGATGACATCAGCCCCGATGCTGTCGTGACGCCGAGTGCGCCCGCCGTGGGTGACGTCCCTCAGCACCCGACCTCCCAGGCGAGCACGAGGTGCCAGCAGATGACATCAGCCCCGATGCTGTCGGCGCGCGCGCGCCGCCCCGGGACGTGCCATGTCATGACAGGCGACAGTGGGAACAATTCCACCACAGCGAACACTTCCCCGACAGCGACGCCATGCCACAAACAATATTTACCATTATATAAATTTAACCAAGTATTTTGAAGTAGCACTTTGTCATTGAAGCCCTTGCAAGTTCACCTGGTCCGGACCCTCACTCCACCACATAAGCAGAGCAGCTTTAATCCAACAGTGCTTGCCCCCAGCTTGCCCAGTGCTTCCCAACAAGGGCACACTGCACATGCTGAGTGTTACCGTGATTTCTGACGGGCTCGGCAGCATCACTCCGGCCACACAGTCGGCTCATGCGGCTCTGGGCGTTCTCCAGGATCTTCCTCTGGCGCGCCTCTCGCCGGCGGTCGGCGGCGCTCCGGCCGTCCGCCACTGCTGCTCCGTCCATTGTTGGCGCTCACTGGTCAGCAGAGCCAGTGGGCTGTTGGCAGAGGGGGGGGGGGGGGTGATGGTCAGCAGCGAAACATGGGAGTATCACAGAGCTCCAGTAGTGAGAAGGGAGCCTGGACAGGCAGCCCAGTGGTGATGATGGTCAGCAGCAGGACATGGTGGCATCACAGGGCTCTAGTAGTGAGAAGGGAGTCTGGACAGGTGACCCAGGGGTGATGATGGTCAGCAGCAGAACATGGCAGCATCACAGGGCTCCAGTGGTAAGAAGGGAGACTGGACGGGCAACCCAGGGGTGACGTTGGTCAGCTGCGGAACATGGCAGGATCACAGGGCTCCAATGGTGAGAAGGGAGAATGGACAGGCAACCCAGGGGTGACATTGGTCAGCAGCAGAACATGGCAGGATCACAGGGCTCCAGTGGTGAGAAGGGAGAATGGACAGGCAACCCAGGGGTGACATTGGTCAGCAGCAGAACATGGCAGGATCACAGGGCTCCAGTGGTGAGAAGGGAGAATGGACAGGCAACCCAGGGGTGACATTGGTCAGCAGCAGAACATGGCAGGATCACAGGGCTCCAGTGGTGAGAAGGGAGACTGGACAGGCAACCCAGGGGTGACATTGGTCAGCAGCAGAACATGGCAGGATCACAGGGCTCCAGTGGTGAGAAGGGAGACTGGATGGGTGACCCAGGGGTGATGATGGTCAGCAGCAAAACATGGCGGCATCACAGGGCCACAGTAGTGAGAAAGGAGCCTGGACAGGCAACCCAGGGATGATGATGGTCAGCAGCACAACATGGCAATATCACAGAGCTCCAGTGGTGAGGAGGGAGACTGGATGGGTGACCCAGGGGTGATGATGGTCGGCAGCAGAACATGGCAGCATCACAGGGCCACAGTAGTGAGAAGGGAGACTGGACGGGCAACCCAGGGGTGACATTGGTCAGCAGCAGAACATGGCAGGATCACTGGGCTCCAATGGTGAGAAGGGAGCCTGGACAGGTGATGGACAGGTAATATCAGCACAGGAACATAAAGAGCTGACTAAGCAATGCACTGGCTGATGACATTCCAAAATTATCAAGTTAGTTATCCAAGATGTAAATGTAAAGTCATACTTCCCAAACCCTTTGTCCCCAGTGGCACCCACATACTATCAGTCATTCACCATTGGCTGGGCTAATCTCTTGCCCTTTGACACTAAACCCAGACACCTAAGCCGGCTGGCCCTTGGAGATGGACTGACTGTTGACAGCCAGTTTGATGTGATTGGCCAACTTTAACTGAGGGGGAGGGCAACAGCCATTAGGCAGTGAACCCTGAGTCAAATGTGTAATAACATAGACAATGCTGACATCCCTGCTGCCCAACAACATTGAAACACTGTTAGCCCAAAGGGTCAGGGTGTACTTTCCTACCTAACGTTAGAAAAAATCATTGTACACCATTCGTCGTGTTTAAGGCATGACATATCGTAAATAATCTCAAAACAGGTAGAATCATGCTCCTACTTTCGAATTTCAGTAACTTCGATGGCGGGCCCCCGAGCGCCGCGCGCACCGCACCGCCTGGACTCCCCAGCGCCGTTTCCGCGTTGCCGTTGCGTAAATGCAATAGTTCTGCGTACCAAGAACTGTACAAAATGTACGGGACCAAAGTAAACCATTCGTCATGTTTAAGGCAGGACATATCATAAATAATCACAAAACAGGTAGATTAATGATCTTAGCTTCAATTTTTTTACAATTACGATGGCGAGCTCCCGAGCGCCGCACACACACAGCACCCGCGACACCGGCGCCATTACTGCTCGGGTCACAACATTACTGCGAACCGTAAAAATGTACCGGGACAAGGTAGCAAGAATCCATGAAATTTGATCCCCGACGCCAACGGGACCATGCGTTGCAGGGGGATTGGGTGGGGAATGTAAAGCAAAATGAGAACATGGCAGCTAAATAAAAGCTCACTATATGGCACCTATATATGGCATGGAACATGGATGCCAATGAGATGCTGGGTTGAAGGGGATATAGGGTGGGGAGGCTAGGTTAGGTTAGGTTAGGTTAGGTTAGGTTAGTTAGGTTAGGTTAGGTTAGGTTAGGTTAGGTTAGGTTAGGTTAGGTTAGGTTAGGTTAGGTCAGTTAGGTTAGGTTAGGGTAGGGTAGGTCAGCTTAGCTAAGCTTAGGTTCTGGTCTATTCTCGGGTTAGGTTAGGTTAGGTTAGGTTAGGTTAGGTTAGGTTAGGTTAGGTTAGGTTAGGTTAGGTTAGGTCAGGTCAGGTCAGGTCAGGTCAGGTCAGGTCAGGTCAGGTCAGGCTAGCTTAGCCTAGCTTAGCTTAGGTTCTGGTCTATTCTCAGTTAGGTTAGGTTAGGTTAGGTTAGGTTAGGTTAGGTTTGGCTAGTTTAGGATATGTTCTGGACTATTCTGGCCTGCATGTTTCATAAATGTACCTAAACTCGATAAGAAACGATTTTGGTTGCTTTATTATTGTTACCCTGGTCCCGTACATGTTTTATGGTTCTTGATAAGCAGAAATATTGTGCTTTCGCAACAACGCAGAAACGGCGCTTGGAAGTCGAGGCAGTGCGGTGCGGGGCGTGCGGCGCTCGGGAGCTCGCTATCGTATTTATTAAAATTCGAGGGTGGGAGCACGATTCTATCTGTTTTGAAATTATTTACGATATGTTCCGCCTTAAACACGACGAATGGTTTACCTTGGTCCCGTACATTTTGTAGAGTTCTTGGTAAGCAGAAATATTGTATTTACGCAACGGCAACGCAGAAACGGCGCTGGGGAGTCCAGGCGGTGCGGTGCGCGCGGCGCTCGGGAGCCCGCCATCGAAGTTATTGAAATTCGAAGGTAGGAGCATGATTCTACCTGTTTTGAGATTATTTATGATATGTGCCGCCTTGAACACGACGAATGGTGTGCAATGATTTTTTCTAACGTTAGGTAGGAAAGTACACCTACACCGCCCAAAGAGTGCCTACACAGCTGACAGATGGGGCCTGCTAGCCAGTACTGCAACATCAGCTGCTACAGGCATGGCACAGCAGATCAATTGTCTTGCTGACTGCCATCAGGCCAATTGGATTTACAACAGTGAGGAGTAACAATTTTGATGGTGCCAATTCACAGAACATATTTGAAAAACAATTTTTTTCCACACCAGGCCCCAGCAGGTGTCCACCATGACCGTTTGCCAACATCGATGCAGAGGCAATTTACAACAGGAAAGTTAGCTACCCATCTACCCTTAAATACATTGCAAATGTTTTTTTCTGCCTAGGTACTGCAGTGCGCACATGGTAGCATGAGCAGGTAGTTAATTCACGGTGTGCAAATACAGGCCAGTGCCGGTCACTGCACATACTTTGAACCTGATATACCCGGTCTAATTTTGTACCAACGCCGGTTCATGCATTACATATAGATTTCGATAAAACCGAAACTGGTATAATATGCCATTTTATGCATGTATCCATAGGAAACACTCCACAAACAAATTTACCACCACCCCAATTCGACACCCACCTCCCGACTTAAGTCCTACGCAGTGACAATCACAGCAAGCGATCCAGCCTCGATCATTAGAATCAAGGATGCCTGCTACAACCAAAATAAAGATACTGGGCAATAAATGACGTCAGGTAAATGTAAATTAGTCGATATGAAATTTTGTAGTTTTTTTCTTACCTTTTGAATTTTCAATAAAATAAAAATTGCTCTTTTACCAGTCTTTTTAGACGAAATGCAAAAAACAAAACCTGAATCACAACAACGCAAACGGAAAGCCATCGTACTAAAAATAAGAGCCAGGCCTTGTGGTGAAAACAGCGCATCCGCGACAAAGAGCTGAGAAACGCGCTGTTTGTTTTCGAGAGAGCATTTCAGTTGAACGGCGTCGTTGTCCAGGGGGCTGTGCATCCAACGGTCTAGTGCATCGCGTTGTTTAAGTGTTGTCGCTATGGCGTTGAGATTCTTGATAAATTTCTCAAACAAGCCGGTGGAGAAGATTGCTACTTCGCTTTTATTTAGGTACTTGGGTATTATGCATCTTCTATGTGAACCGCATCATCAGTTTCTAACTTACAGCAGGGAGCAGCACAGTTAAGGCTAGGTGCATAGGCGCTGGGGTTCAGGCTGATGCGCTATGGTTAGACTCAGTCTATGCATTTAATACCATACAGCTCAGCCCATATTATGACTGTGCCCAGCAGGGGTTATGTCTCCATATTTGGAAAATCTAGAGCACATTGCTCAGTTTTGCTCGCAAGCCAAGTTAAGCACTGAAGCCGTGACAATTGCCTATTTATCTCCATATTGCAGTGAAAGTTTTAAGGTCAGTCATCACTAAGACCATCTGAAAATTTAGCCATTTCACACCACTTCCACCATAACAAGATTGAGCATATGAAGCTCAGAGTTGGAAGGTGGACTGAAGTACTGGAATGATGATGCAGTTTGTTGCATTAGCCATGATTTCAAAAGGGTTCAAGGTGGGCATTTGTGGCTTGCTTCATAAGAACACCTCATATGTAAGCCACCTTTAAGACTGGAAACATCATCACTAATCATCAAACAGAGGAATGTTATTCATCAGTTGTGACCCAACCTTAGGACTTTTATGACCATGAAAATGATGGCAGCCATGGGTCTTCAACACCGCTGGCACAACACTGATGCTTAAAAACCATCCCTTCAGATCAAGGCCAGCTGCTTATCCTCATCTTTGGATACTGGTTGTTGGTTAGTTGACATGACAGGTAAAAGTCTGGTGTCTTAGTATCTTAAAAGTGTAATTTTCTTGAAGCTGTCCAGCAATAATGTTGCATGCATGCAACTGTGTAACCTAACAACCTAACTTTACCTAATCAAATCTCACCTCACTACAACCCACCCCACCCCACTGTGCTCTACTAGACCAGACCAGACCAGATGAGACCAGACCAGACCAGACCAGACCAGACCAGACCAGACCAGACCCTACATGATCTAACCTTACCTTACCTTACCTAACTCTTTTCCTAATTATACCCCTGCTCCTACTCCTACCCCAACTCCTATCTCACCCCTACCCCCATTGCAATCCTACCCATACTCCTACCCCAATCCCTTCCTCACCCCTACCTGTCCTGCTTTCCCACCCCTACTACTACCCCTACCCTGACTCCCACTCCCATTCCTGTTCCCACTCCCACAAATCATCCCCACTCCTACTCCCACTCCCACTTCCACTTCCATTTCCACTTCCACTTCCACTTCCACTTCCACTTCCACTTCCACTTCTACTTCTACTTCTACTTCCACACTTCCACTCACACTCACACTCATGGTGGAAAAGCAAATGTTGGCCTTGATCTGGTGGGGGGGGGGGGGGGAAGGGACACCCAACTTTATGAAGTAGGCCACAACAGGGGTGAAACAATTTTTAATGTATGCCAGAGGTAGTTTTAGCCATTTTCCATCAGTCATCTCCTCCCATTCCAACTCATTTTGCTAACCATACCCTCGGCTTCCGCCGCAACCAGAACTGGGTGTGATGAATGCTCTTTTAACCAATATTGCTGCAGATGTGCTGTGGTGCGCAAGACCCCAGCTGCCGTCGTGAGGTTGGACACCGCCAAGCCAGTCGTGTACACGATGTTGCGGCCGGTCGTCTCGTGCGGCCCTGACCTGACCCGTGAGCCGGTCCTGTCACAGACACTCGGCCGGCGCCAAGACCTCGGCGCCGGGCGTCACGCTGCCGCAGAAGCCGAAGATGCCCCGCTCCGGCTACATCAGGTTCGTCGCCGAGACCATGGCCAAGCTGAAGACGGAGGCGCCCGGCACCAAGTCTTCAGGTGGGCCGGGATGGCGCCGAGTGCTGCCGCCTCCCGTCCCCCGCCGCCGGGTGGGGACTGTGCGGTCCTGGTCTGGGGCGGGGGTCTGGCGGAACTGCACGGCGGACTGACCGGGGCTGGCCGGCTGCGTGTCCTCTCGTCGCGCGGGTCTAACGGGCGTCGGTTTGTGGGGCAAGCTTGGTCAGGAAGGCCGCTCGTGAGATGTCCGGTCCGGCACAGCCCCCGCCTCCCCATTAAGTCACGCCCGGGGTGGTCAGTCATTATTTTCGATGTTTTTTTACCGGGTGTAACTACTGCATGTTAATGCATATTTGGAAAAGAGGCAGGTGCAGTTTATGCCTGAGTGACCCGCTCCGACAAAGCGTAGAAACACCGTCAGCGTGATCAGCAGTTAATTGTCACAGAAAGAGCCACGGCTCATTCCATGGCAAAGCGTAATGCAGTGGTGAGCAGAGTGCCTGCTGCTAACTTTCTTCAGTTGCGCCGGGCGTTGGAGCGCTAACTTGCCTTATTTGGAGCGTCCGCAGCGTCGGCTGTCACCGTCCGGCCGTGACGTCATCACTCCCGTGCTCTCCAGACATGGTGGTGAAGGCGTCGAAGCTCTGGAGGGAGCTGGATCCCGCTGAGCGGAAGCGCTTCAACGACGCGTCCGCCACCGAGAGGGCCAAGTGGCACGTAAGACCAACGCGGGTTGTACACGACGCGTGCTGAGGATTGTGATGAGCTGTCAGGGGGAGCTTTCAGGGGGATCTGAAACCTCGAAATAGTCGTGTGCTCCGGGTCTGGTCCGTGTGCCCCGGGTCTAGTCCGTGTGCTCCGGGTCTAGTCCGTGTGCTCTGGGTCCGTGCTCTGCAACGCGTCGTGATGCCATGCTTTTCTGGCGTCGTTTTGCAGATGACAGTGGCAACGTAGTGGCAGTGTACTTTACTCGCACAGGTCGCCGAATTTGGTCACGTCTCCCTGGTGATGATAATGAAGGTAATCATGTCTTCTTACCACTTAGCAGTTCATGACGGTGTGTGTGAGTTTGGCTTGCCTTGTCGGGTCATGACTCAGACGCCGTCATCGACACTGCATCTGATGGCGTCCGCTTACACTCGCCTGACTCGGGACTCACTGGTCCGAGACCGCTGGGGGCGACCCTCTGACTCGGGACTCACTGGTCCGAGACCGCTGGGGGTAACCATCTGACTCGGGACCCTTGAACTCCGCCGCTCCTCTCCTTTTCCGTCAGAAGAGGACTGCATGTCGCTCCCCCACCGCGTCCCCCACGCCCCCATGCCCCCTTCCACCAGGAACGGGTGACGAGTTCATCTCCCCCGATCCCCGTCGAAGGTACCCACGTCTCAGCAGCGCACGAGATAGCTTCCGCTCACCCCGCCAATCCCGTCATAAGTTTGTACGCGCTCCCCTCATCTCTCCCTCCCTTGCGGCAGCCAGTCGCCGCCCTTCCCCCTCCCCCCATTTACCACTTGTGCTCCGTCAAAAGGTCCTCATCACCCCAGCCCTGCCCCGCCCCACCAGGGGAAGGTGGCCGCGTTCGAGAGCGTGACCAGCTGGTGGTCCTCGTCACCCCAGCCCTGCCCCGCCCCACCAGGAAAAGGTGGCCGCGTTCGAGGCGCAGCTCAGCCAGCGCGAGCGTGATCAGCTGGTGGCCGAGCGGCAGCGGCAGCGCGACCGGCAGAGGGACGAGCGACAGCGGCGCCAGCGGCGGCGCCAGCTTACCGACCTGCAGCGGCCGCGCAAGCCGCCCAACTCCTTCATGCTCTTCTACATGGAGCGCGTGCCCGAGCGCAAGGACATGCATCAGAAGGTCGGCAGCGGCGGGCGCAGGCGCGCTGGATTGGAGGTGGTCGGGGGAGTGGCAGGCCACGGCTGGACGAGCGGGGGATGGGGAGAGGTAGGGGAAGTGGTCGGGGAAGGGGAGGCCACGGCTGGACGGGCCGGGTAATGGAGGTGGGTGGGATGGGGTGGGGAGACGGGGTGGGTGGGTGGAATATCCGCCTTGTCTAACGCGAGCGTATAATTCGCCGCTGGGAGTGGGAGATTGGAGAATAAAGCTGGGTCCAGAAATGAGAGATTGTTTTTGTTTCCCGGTCATTTCCCGGTTTCTTGATACGTCAGCCACTGCGTCACCGGCGCGACACGGGCTGGGTGGCGGGCAGGACCATGACCCCGTCCTGCTCCGTTTCAGGAGTTCCTGGCGGAGATTGGCAAGCGCTGGGCTGGCATGAGCGAGGAGGATAAGTTTCCCTACGTCAAGCGGTTCCAGGACCTGAAGGTACGGTCGCCGGTGTCGCACACGCCGGTGTGCGACACTGCTGTCCGTTTTCGTCTGCTTGGTGTGTGCGTGCCCTGATGGTGCTGTCCGTTCCGCTCGATCAGGCTTTGTCTGTTCGGTTTGTCTCAAACGAAGTGGCATTATCTGCGCTTTCTTTCAGCGTGTGTGCACAGTCCGTGAGCTTGTGACGTCACAAGCGCGCGGATTTTGTTCCGAAAAACACGAACGACGTGGCTGAAAAGCTTGGCACTGCTGCACCTCTGATCTCAATGGCCATTATTTGGTGATGGGGTCGGCTTCGTACATTCCCGAGATTGACTTGTGGTGCCATGGTCAATGCTGTTTGGTCGGCCGCTGGGTGTTAATTGACTAGCAGCAGCGTTTGAGTTCATCTCTCATTTTTGCCCGCATCGGTGCCGTGCAGGAGACGTACGCCAAGGAGCTGGAGGCTTGGGAGAAGCGAATGATCAAGGAGGGACGGTCCGATCTCGTCGGAGTGAGTTTTCCGACCAGGGGGGGGGGGGGGGGGGGCGCCGGGTAGACCTGAGCCAGTGACCGGAAGTCCGGAGTGAGTAACCTCAGACCGCCAGGCGCAGACCCAGATGGGGCCGCTGGCCTGGAACTGAGCCAGTGACCCAGTGTCCAGAGTGAGTAACCTCAGACCGCCAGGGGGCAGACCCACAGCGGACCGCTGGGCTAGGACTGAGCCAGTGATCGTGATCGAGGAGCCTACGCTCTGTTGGTGTGTGCTGCCGGTGTTTGCGTGCCACGTGATCGAGGAGCCTACGCTCTGTTGGTGTGTGCTGCCGGTGTTTGCGTGCCACGTGATCGAGGAGCCTACGCTCTGTTGGTGTGTGCTGCCGGTGATTGCGTGCCACGTGATCGAGGAGCCTACGCTCTGTTGGTGTGTGCTGCCGGTGTTTGCGTGCTACGTGATCGAGGAGCCTACGCTCTGTTGGTGTGTGCTGCCGGTGATTGCGTGCCACGTGATCGAGGAGCCTACGCTCTGTTGGTGTGTGCTGCCGGTGATTGCGTGCCACGTGATCGAGGAGCCTACGCTCTGTTGGTGTGTGCTGCCGGTGTTTGCGTGCCACGTGATCGAGGAGCCTACGCTCTGTTGGTGTGTGCTGCCGGTGATTGCGTGCCACGTGATCGAGGAGCCTACGCTCTGTTGGTGTGTGCTGCCGGTGTTTGCGTGCTACGTGATCGAGGAGCCTACGCTCTGTTGGTGTGAGCTGCCGGTGATTGCGTGCCACGTGAGCGAGGAGCCTACGCTCTGTTGGTGTGAGCTGCCGGTGTTTGCGTGCCACGTGATCGAGGAGCCTACGCTCCGTTGGTGTGTACTGCCGGTGTTTGCGTGCCACGTGATCGAGGAGCCTACGCTCTGTTGGTGTGAGCTGCCGGTGTTTGCGTGCCGAAGGTGAATCACTTTCTCCGCTTCTCCCTGCACGTGCATGAGTTGAATTACAATGAACCGAGAGTCGACATGTGGGAGCATTGACCTGTGGGCAGCGTGTTTTGTACACGGAACCGTGTGAAGTGTGAAAGGTCGTCGCATCGTCATGAACCAGACACGTTGCCAGTGACAAATCATAGCAACAGCCCAAATTATAGGTCGCTAAACATGCAGGCATTCCTTGTGCTGAATTGACAGTTTCTTCACTTAAGCCAAAATCTGCTTGCATATGCATTGCTAGATTGAAGGCCTTTTCGTTTTGTTTGAAAGAAAACTTATTGTTCTTGGCGTTTTAAAACCGAATTTGACCCGATGCTCGTTGGACCCGGCGCTGGAATGTTCCTGCTGCAGCAGGGCGCCTGCACTCAGCTTTGGCCTGACCTGACCCTTGACCCCGTCGTCAGCCGCCTCTCAGCCGGTGCTCGCCGAGGAGGAGGTCACCAAGGGTCGCCACCGATAGGACGGCGCCGGCGGTGGCGGCGGCGTCCGGGCGCGCGGCAAGGTCAAGTCGGGGGTTATTGCTGGGATGGAGGTCAGATCGGGGGGCAGGACCAAATCAGAGATCAATTCGGGGTTAATGGTCGAGCGAGAGGTCACGCCCGGAGTCAAGGTCACGAAGACTGCTCCGAAGTCCAAGGTCAAAGTTACACCTAAGGCGGAAGTGAAGCCCAAACCTGCACCCAGGTCCAAGGCCAAGACCGCATCCAAGGCCGAAGTGCAGTCCAAGGCGGTACCGAAGCCCAAGGCCAGGGTCGCACTCAATGTCGAACTGAAGCCCAAGTCCTCACCGAAGACGAACGTCAGTGCAGCCACGTCTAAGACCCCACCGAAGCCGGAACGCGAGCGAACAGCCGGGCCCGAGCCCAGCGCCAGGGCCGCTCTCGGGATACCAGCCCAGCCCTCTGCGCCGGCCGCTACAGGGGCATGTGCGGAGGTGTCGGCGGCTGGCGCGGAGGCGGTCCGCGGCGCGTTCCAGTTGGTGCCGTTGGCCCCTGGGCCGCCGCCGCCGCCGCCGCCCGCGGGTCCGGCGCCGGAGCCGGAGCCGGAGCTGGAGCCAGAACTGGAGCCAGAACCAGAGCCAGAGCCAGAGCCGGAGCCGGAGCCGGAGCCGCAGCCGCAGCCGCAACCGCAACCGCAGCCGCAGCCGCAGCCGCAGCCGGAGCCGGAGCCGGAGCCGGAGCCGGAGCCGGAGCCGGAGCTGGAGCCAGAACCAGAGCCAGAGCCAGAGCCAGAGCCGGAGCCGCAGCCGGAGCCGGAGCCGGAGCCGGAGCCGGAGCCGGAGCCGGAGCCGGAGCCGGAGGAGCTTTTCCGGCTGTCGGCCGGTGTAATCGGACGGAGGGCCGCCTGGCGTCCGCTCTGCACCCTTCGCTGCTGGTCGCCATGACTGACAGTCGCCGCGAGGGGACGCTCGCCTCGGCTCTCAGTCACGGCTCCGGGTCACTGTTCCCGGCCATGTCACGGTCCCGGCTCGGTCTCAGACGCGTTATGTTGCGGGTCCTCCGGCACCGTTGGACTCTGGCCAGTCTCGGACTGGGCTGAACGAGAGTCGTACAGGGGCGGCGGGGGCTAGCGCCGGGGCCGGGTGGGATAGGTTGGGAGGGTCGGGAACCCGGGCTGTCAGGTGACACAGCCCCCGCTGACGGGTGCGATCTGCCGCCAAAGCTGCGCTGCCCAGCGCGGGCACGCTCGCGGAGCGCAGCCGGCTGGTGAGCTGGCTGTGGAAGAGCAGCAGTCGGGAAAACGGGCTGGCTGAGGGCTGGCAGCCGGCTAGTGATGAGCTGGCTGAGGACTAGCAGCAGTAGGGAAGACAGGCGCCGTTTTGGCGCGACTTCAGTGCTTCTGGCGGGAACAAACACCGACGCGATTACTTCTAGAGTTGCACGCGCTCAGCACGCGCTGGGTCAGCTGGCTGTTTTTTCGTCAAGTTGGGTTTTTGGTCTAGGACTGTCGCGAATCCCTTCCGATGACTCTTTCATTGTCCAAACATGTTTGCAATGCCTATGCCGCCAACTTTCTGTTGGAGCCTGGCCTCTCGTCTGTTTTGCCGCTGCCACTGCCATCTGTTGGTTTGCCGCCATCGCCACAGGCGGCGGGTGTTTGCCTCCCGCCCGGCGAATGTCCCAGGCAAGATTGCAGCTGCTTGTTTCTGGCGTTTTTTAGAGCTTTTGTACCGTACAATAATGGGCACGGCTGTGTCCCGAGTGCCACCGAGTAGAGGTGTATGCGTGAGGCGGGTGATAGCGTGACTGTAGTGTTTCGTCCAGCTCTGGAATAAAGGCACGTTTTGCATAGTCAGGTGGTCTGCCCTAGAGCGGGATGCTGGAGACCTTGACAGCGGAGAAGGTCGATGCAATGGTTGACACAGGAAGGCAACCGCCCTTCCGCCACCAGAAAACCAACGTGGGACACCCAAATTTTTTTGTCCTTTAGATTCCGCAGCACTTTCTTGCGCACGGGAATGACCACCCACATTGACCAGACTTCTTTGTTTCATTTTCCGGCCGCTGGTGATCGCCCTGAAGTCATCATCAGAGCAGCCGGCCGCCGTTTCGCATGAAGTAGCACGCCAAAGTCATTGGAGACACTTGTGCGCGCCATTAAGTTATGACAGAGGGAAAACCTCTGCAGTGGAAGGGAGCAGATGCTCACGTGGAGAAGAGTGGTACCACGCCCTGTGCCCCTTGCAGGCGCAAATGGTGCACACTTCGCGCACGTGGCCGCGCGCGACGCACGCGACATTAAACCCGCCCCGTCACTCCAATTCGCCAAATAGCGTTCCAATCACATTCCTGGCTTCATGCTGGGGCTATTGTTTGGATTTGCTGACGGAACCGACGCATTGGGTCCTCCGTGCTTCACAACCCTCGCACCGGGCATCGGCTTCCATCCAGGTCCTGGGGGCTTGAGGGCTTCACGAGAAAGGCCCCCCCTTACCAGCCTTGCACACTCCCCCCGTTTCGCACGCCTGTGCCCGCGCCCATCCACCACCATTTCCCAAAAGGCTTTATCAACCCGACCGCATTTTCCAGCTAGTTATTAAGTATGGAAGTCTCAGGGAAATTTGCACCCAAATGACTAAAAGTGGTGGGAATGGAGTTCTTACGAAAATAATTGCAAACAACACTGGTATTCCGCGAGATATTTACCCATCATTTGATAGATGCCTTATCCATGCCCGTAATTTTCCCCGGCACATTACCGAGCCAAGCCTGTTAGCCATACGAGGATGTCCATACGCAGAGTCGCACGCATGCATAACCCTCGTAGTGCGAGCTTCCACTCACCAAACGTGCGAGACAAATGAAACGCACATGACTGGCGGCTGGGTCATCTCCAGGTTGACTAACGAAAATAGGGGCTCGAGAGCGTGCGACGCTCCAAACCGGCAGATTGCGCGCGCTTACAGCGGCTTACCACGCTTTCATCGATAGCTTTTGAGTAGATCGCAACCGCCCCCCCCCCCCACAGTAAGTTCCCGCGTGAGCTCCTCCTCCACCCCAACCTGCCAACCCATCTAATGGACGACACATGACGCCGCGTTTGCTCCTCACTGTTCGCCCTCCCCTAATGCGCTTTACATTTGAAATGTACAGTATCGTACTACTTCCGCGACCCCGCGCCGTCGCTGTGCTTGCTGTCAGCGCATTTCACACTCGATAGCACTCCCCTGCACCACCAGCAGTGACATCACCCTACCGTCGTTGGTACGTCATCAGCCGGTGACCTAGGGGATGACGTCGCGCCGCAGACTTGCACGCCCGCAGGCAAGCATACCGGATGGGAGATGACGCCACGTCCTAGCCGTGCGTGTCCACAACGACGTGGACACGCAACCACGTGGACATGTGCAACCATCCGCAATTCCCAATGTTGCCAGTTACGGCACGCTCAACGAAACGCGTCGTTTCGTACAAAACTGTATTGCAGCTCCTCACAGACGCACGTGCGTGGTTGCGCAAAAAATCCAGCAAGGTTCGAACTCCAAGAACGGGACAAGGTCGGGCGGCAGAACAAGCACCTATGAGAGGCCACGTCACAACATGAAGACGAATCAGCTTCGGCGACACAGCGGGGGCGGGGCTTCGCGTTCCCGCCGGAATGGCTGTCGAAGCGCGGTTCAAAACGCGGATGGCGCGTGGCAGACAACACAGCTCAGTTGTCGTCGTCCTCGATCTTTGGTGCCAGGAAGTACCGGATGTGGCCAATCTCCTGGATGGTGTACTCGACCATGAGCGGGTACTCAGGCGACATGGACAGTTTCACCTGTGAGCAGAGGGGGGAGGGGAGGGGTGAAAGAGCGCACAGCGATCCAAGCAGCACCATGCAACACACAGACACACACACACAGATAGTAACTTTTGGGACTATCAATGGAACAAACCTGTGTTGAGAGAGGTGTGGCTTTGGTGAAGAAGTTGAGATAGCGACAGGCATAGGTGAACGACACTGGCTCCTGCATCTCGATGGTCACTGCCTCCTCTTCTTTGTCCACATTTGAAGACTGAGCCAGCTTGACATTTGCTGAAACAAAGGAGTCAACTAAGACATTGAACTTCTTCAACTCCTTGAATAAGATCATGACTATGATGTATTACCTATACACATTCAATCAACCTTTGACCAACCAATGTATGTTTGCCATAAAAAAGAAACACATGGTTCCCAGACAAGACAACCAATTTCTGACAAGCATCACTTGGCTAAGAGCTCACCTGAGCCAATGTCTCCGGATGCAGAGAACTTGACTCCCTGCTTGCTGCAGCTGATCACGATGGAGTCTCCAAACTGGCTCAGGTCTCGGCAGATCCGGGCAAATTCACCAGCGGGCATCTTCACCACACATGCATATTCAGTCTCCTGCAAATAATCAATGTGTGCTTTAGGTCTTCAAAACTACAACTGGATGAGCAAGTTGAAGGAAAAAAAGCAGAAAACTAATCAATGCAGTTAAGTTCCACAATTACCAAATTTGCAGGTTTCCAACATTCATGCAATCAACTGAAAATTCATTCAAACAATGCTAGATATGAACAGTGGTGCAATAAACAATGAGATATGCTGTTAGTTACATAAGAATCATATACAATCCAAAACTAAATCTAGTTTCAAGTTTCAACACAAGGTGCAGTATATGATAAAATGGCTTACAGGAATCTGCAGATGTTCCTGATCCAAATTCATGAGCTTCATTTCATAGTCAGACTGCCTTTCCCCATTTTCTGACTCAAAGACAAATGTGACAGTGTCTGGATTGTCCTGTGCCCGGATTGTGACAATGTCCTCATTGCCAGCACACTTCAGGATCTTGGACATGCTGAAAATGGTGACAAAATAAGTTCCACATTGCCAGCCAGATTAACTTGCGACAAAGCCATCTCAAATACACCTGACAGAACTGAAGGTGGTGATCAAGGACAGCTGCTGACTGACTTAGCTTCATTGTTAATTATTGAGCACACATGTAAAAGGCAGAGGGGGCCACAGACTGCCTGCAGCAAGACACCCATACTTCCTACTTCTTGCATATCAATCCTATGGTACTGCCACATTAAAAGTGGCACATGGTCGGTAGGGGCTTCATAAGCCTGAATTGCCAATGCGCGACTCATTCACGGTTGTGTGGCATCCTCCAAGACAAGTGTCTCAACACAAACTCACCTGCCAAGATTCATGCCCATGGTCAGATTCCTGTCGCACCGATACTTGTCAAATCCATCTGATCTCAAATTCAAAGATACGAGCGAGACGTGAGCATTGTCCATGGCTTGAAGCGTAATTCCCATATCGCCACAGTCCCATGATGCCTCAGTGAGGAGGTCCTTTACGGCTTCAAGGATCTTCTTGAAGATAACACCCTTCGTCAGTCGTGCTTCAAACATATTGTATGATTTGATGAGACGCTCTGAACCAACTTCTGTCGACAATGATAACTAGAGACACCACACCACTGCTAGGAACGTGACTTCCAAACAACCACCCGACCGCAATCCCAGCGCCAAGTGGGCCCGTTTGGCGCCAAGTTCTGTTACAGGCCCGCACAAGTTTTGGCGCCAATGGTGATAGTCTTCGTGGATCTGGTCGGTAGTGAGCACAAGCGTGTACAAACCAATGAACGTACGACTTTGGTCGTTAGCGCTGTTCGCATCTGCAAAACCTTTTTTCGTTAGACGGCATGAGCACAAGGCCACCTCTGGGAGAACCCGAATAAGTTTATCATGCTTTTAAAATAAGTAGTGGTCAACTACGTTTTTGTATTTGGATTACATGAGTTTTGGAAGATGCGCAAGATCTTCTCTACGACAATGAGTATGTTTAGGCGGGAAACGGTTGCCCCAATGAGAAGGCAGAGCTGCTTATCGATCTCATTCTACTCACTCCTACGATGCTACACGCCAATCCGCTCTACGTGTCCTTTAACACGTTTATGGCGCTTCTTGTACATTTCGTCAGCTGTAAATAATGCACGGACCTGTCTCAAGCCTCCAGGGCCTCTGGGGCCGAGTAGTGGGTGTGGGTTCCGACGCGTCTTTTGTTGTGGTAGGCCAAGCTAACTGAAATTTTGGACACCTTGACTGTACTTCTTACACGCATGAGGCCATTTTTTATTCATCATTTGTGAAAGTTGGTGGTCGTAAGCGGTTGAAATCGGTGTTGCAGACTAGGTAAGTGTGGCCATATTGTGATAAATTATGTTCATTGCTGTGTCTTAATGTGGTAGTCAGCACCCCGCATATGGGAAACACCATATACTAATGATGTGTCAATTTATTAATAAGCGTGTGTACTATTTGGATTTTGCTGTCTGTGTTATAGCCTTCCATATGCCAGCACAGCAATGCATTGTCAAAGCAAAAATTTAGAGATGAAACAGACAGGCATGACTACTTATAACATTGTTATGATTCAGTTTTCCTGCTTCAGCATGGCATGCCTTACTTTTCACTAACTATGGCATAGTAATGGCAGCATAATGGTATTGGCAGCCCACCATACATCCATTGACGGGTATTGTAACAACCACACCATGCTCAATGAGCTGTGAAAGTTTTAGATTATTATTAGGTGTGTTGAGCACTGTAAGAAAGAGTTGTGCTTCTGTTTTAGCAAGGCCAACAATTTGCCAGAATTTACTTGACCAAACAGAACCCAGTCTACCTCCTACCCCAATGTCTACTACAATGTCTACTACCCAGTCTACCCCAATGCTGTGCCTATTCCTATGAAAACACCCATGCTCTTACTTCTGTCCATAGTCCTACTCCCATCCTTACCCCTTTTTCATGCTACCACAGTGGAGAGCTTCACCCCTACTTAGCTGGCTCATCAGACACTCAGCAGACCCACCTACCAATCATTGATAAACACTGCTGTTTGACACCAGGGTGCTGTGAATGCTGTTACCAGTAGGATCATTGAGCATCCAATTGCATTGTTTTCAATGGTGAGATGATGTATTGCCACTGTTTTCCAAGACTGATTGGTGTATTGCAGTCTGAGGAAGTCTAGTATGGTTGTTTTAGAAAGATTGCTTTATATATATATATATATATGCACATATCTGAAAGACCCCAATTAATGCCTGAACACCTGTCTAGGAGGCTCCTGAGTTTTTATGTTTTTTTGTGGCTATAGTTCTGGTAAAGGTAGTACTTAATGTGAGCATGAGGTTAAAAATCCTTATCACCTTGTTGTCATATCCATGGATGTGCATGCACACAAACTTAAATTTAACTGTCTGGCCTGCAACAGCCTCCTGAAAATGAAGCCTTTCTGAAAGGCCAGTAATTTTGTATGGACATCCATGCCACAAAGCTCAGAATGGAAAGACTTTGGCACAAATTCCTCATCACATGTGTCCATTTACCAGCTATAGGAATAACCTGAGGTGCAGAAGAGGAACCTCTGAACTTGATGAGAGACTTACAAGAAGTTGGTGAAAACATCAAAAGCTAGATAGGACGTTATGGGCATACAAACCAGCAATTGATGGGAAAAGGATGTATTGCAGGCATGAATGAAGGCATATAGTCCCATCAATGAGGGAGCTTGAAGCAGTTTGCATCATTAACAATCACTTCAGCATTATTTCCAGTCTTTGTCTAAAGAGCAGGAACCGCTATATTGCCGGCTTCTTAAAGAATGATTAAAACAAAGAGAGCAATGCAATGGGAACTACACTCTTATAAGTATCATTGCCATCACTAGACATGAGATCAGACTAGACATGAGATCAGACTGAAACATTCCAGTCACATCCAGCTTCTAGGGGGTCTAGGCATGAGATCAGACTGAAACATTCCAGTCACACCCAGCTTCTAGATGTTGTTGAGGAATCAAACCTTGGTAGGATCTGGATGATCCTGTGAATGTACTCTTTGTTTTCAAAAGGAATTTTACCCAGTTTCCTGCTGCCACCTGCCTGGCATGTTGGAATGTGTCAGAATGCCAGATGAACTATCCCAATGGATGCAGTCATTTCTGAGCATGTGGCACCAACAAGCACTGGTGAGGTAAATTATCTCTCCTTTATCTGACATCAACAGGGGTGTACCTCAGGGATTCATATCAGACCTTTTTTCTGTCTAGCTCATTGATGACATTAGCCATCAGATGCCGTGTTTAACTCCATATGAGGATGCTGGTGGATGATGCTAAGGTGAATGATGATGTGGCACAAACATCAGTGATTGGCCTTCTGTAGAGAGCCCAGAGTAATGCTGTGGCCTGTTCTGGCTTTTGGCAGCTCTCACTTAATAAAGCAAACTCCAATTTTTGTCGCATTGGATCCTGCACTACCCAGCACATATGTGACTAGGGGTGTCTGACTTGGCCAGTTATGGACAGAGTTGAGCTGGTGAATTCATGGAAACCCCACCCCGCTCTGTCAGAGGCAAGCGGCTGCAACAGTCTTGTAGGCCACACAGGTCCTGTCTTGCAGACCCCACCCTGCTCTGTCAGAGGCAAGTGACCGCAACAGTCTTGTAGGCCACACAGGTCCTGTCTTTTGTCTGTAGCATGTATGATCATGCCAGTACATGAGCTGGATGGCTCAGTATGTGCTTTCCTGGACTCTTATAAGACGTTATCTCGAGTATGGTAGCACCATCTAGACTTCATTCAACCTGGCTGATCAGAAGTTGGTCCGGCAGGTTCAGGGACAGGCACTTAGTCTAGTGGCAGGCGGAGGCACGAGCGTACACGGAGAGGCCTTGTCTGCGGGGTTTGCAGTCTCTTCCGCTACGGGAGACGCCACGGCGACGGCATTGTGACGCAGCAAACCCATTACGGCGGGGCAGCCTTCAGCCAGACAGTTCTCTGTGGAGCATCATTCCACCTGAAGGGGTCGCCGATATAAGCTGGGTTTGGGCAGATCCTGTCCTTAACAGCACTGCGAGCTCACCAATCTCCTGAGTCGGCACTGGCTTCAGAGTGAGGGTCGTAAACGGCTGGCACGCCCCTCGTGACCAGGTGGATACACTGCACTCACGGTTTGTTTCACCCATCGCAGGGTGTTCAGAGCGTTCTGATAGTGAGACGCTGTGGTGCGCACCTCGTGGCTCGTGTTACTCTGACATGGTCGCCCCTCATGTGATGGCATTGCCAAGCTGAGGATGTTGAGCACCAGCTGTGAAAAATGCTTTCTCCATGCTCTAGAGAGACTCGCTGTTGCTATGACAGTTGCCTTTTTTTGGTCTGAAAGGCTACATATTGAGAGCTCAGCAGTTCTCGTCCTGTAATTGCGGCCTTTGTAAATTGATGCCATATGGACTGGATTGGTTGGTGGTTTTTAATGATGACATTTAACATTGCTTGAATGCAGCATTAGTTAACAAGGTCTCTCTTGAATCCTTTCACTCTGGTCTGATGCCAAACTTGACAAACCCCTCGCAGATGGCCGACATCGGCCCGTCCCCTTTGTATGCGCTGCCGGTGGGCAGTGTGCACATGGCCAATCAGCCAACTCCGACGCTTGAAGAACAAATGTCTCATCTATTCGCACTTTCATTCATCAATTCATTTGCACTTGACGTGGCCGTAGATGAGTGTAGTAATTTGAGTACCACACATTATCACACCAGGCACATTGGCAGCCACATGCACCTGTTTTCAGGTGAATGGGGAACGCACATGTTAACTGAGTCGATATCTCCGTGCAAAAGGACTCGGCGGTTGGCATCGACCACGATCGCTCACGCGTGGCCGAGGTGACCGGACGGGGCCGGACACGTCAGGAGGCCGTGTGGGCGGCGTGTCCCCCCCCCCCTGCCCAGCACAGAGGGAGGCCGAGGTGACCGGACGGCGCCGAGCACGTCAGGAGGCCGTGTGGCGGTGTGTCCCCCCCCCCCCCGCCCCGCACAGAGCGTGGGTCGACTGCGCATGCATCACGTGCCAGTGGCGGCCGTCTGTGAGGAGCCTGACCAGTTTGACATCAAACAGAAGGGTTTCACGGTCTTTTATCAGCTGAGCGCAGGACCGGCCATTGCTGGGAGCTGGGTGGAATGCATGATGATAGGCGGGTGAGAGGAGCAGACACAGCAATTGGAAGACAGACTACGAACGATAAAGCACATACTATGACATCAATACGACGAGAGAGCACAATACCAACACCCAGGAACATGACAGATACATCAATGAATACGCAACACAATAGTCACCACGACAATGATCAACCGACAGTGGCGGTGAGGGACCTGTGACGTCATCGAGGCGCCCAGCGACAGCCGCGTGCGTGTGCCGCTGGCCTGGCTCGACTCTGTTGTGACCCGCCGCGGCGAACCCTCCCCCCTCCCCCTCAGGGACGCGTGGCGCCGCCGCTGCCGCCGGCCCCCGGGCCGTTTTTTGCCAGGTGTCCGTGCGGTGGTGCGGTCGTCAGTTCAGGTGACCGCGCACGCGCGCGGCCGCCGCCGCGTCGGGTATGTCGCGTCGTCTTGTTGCGGTTGGTGGGAAGCCCAGCGTCCTGCTGCCCGAGGAGGGCACGGTCGGTTGAGAATCCGTATGAGGAGCTTTATGCGTGCGCAAACACAGATAAAGAGGGCACGGAAAGTGTGTGGTGACGGCTAGGGCACTTGACGGTTGCACCTAGACCGTGTTATCTCGCGAGAAGCCGAGTGTGTTGACGGTTAGGGGACCTGAACGGTTGCACCAGACCGTGTTATCTCGCGAGTGGCTGAGTGTAGTGACAGTAGAGGACCTGGACGGTTACACCAGATCTTGCTGTCTCGCTAGTAGCCGTATGCTGAAGAATAGCGGGTATTTCTCAATGAATGCAGAAGGATGGAGCGACCAAGTGCAACAGGATCCTAAAAACGGAGGCTCCAAAATCAGAGTCCAACTTGACGACGAAAGTCAGCCTCAATGGCGAAGATTGTTTGGATATCAAGCCGCGTGGCTAGGCCCGGGGTAGAAACACGCTGGCCGCTGTGGAGAAGCTCCCGCGGCCTCTGAGCCCACCCACCGGCGTCCGAGGTTGCCTCTGAGCCCACCCATCGGCGTCCGAGGCTGCCTCTGAGCCCACCCACCGGCGTCCGGGGCTGCCTCCGAACACACCCACCGGCGTCCGAGGCTGCGCCGTAGAGTGACGTCACAGCTAGTGCGACAGGAGGCGGCCACTGGCCACCCCCCCAAATCCCGTCGGCTGACGCTGCGCCCCGCCTCGCACGGGCGCCGAGCGGGCGGCGGCGGGCGGTTCTCTTCTGCTGCGGACGCCGGGCGCGGGCTGGTGGGTCCCGTGCTCGAAAGCCCGGCCTCTGGGCTGCTGAGCTGGAGCCGAGCCGCCCGCCGCCGAACCCCGGCTCAGGTTAGCCTAACGGACACGGCCGAGGGCGGAGCAAACCTCCCCTCTTCCCTCCACTGGAACGTCTGCTCAGTGGCGGTGTCGTGCCGCCGCCGCTGTAGATGATAATCATCCCTGCAGATGGACGTGTGATGATCATCTCCGCTGATGAACGTGTCATAATCATCTCCGCCGGTGGACGTGTGATAATCATCTCCGTCAGTGGACGTGTGATGATCATCTCCACCAATGGACGTGTGATGATCATCTTCGTCAATGGATGTGTGATGCTCATCTTTGTCAATGGGCGTATGATGGAGGGCGGCAGAGCCTGTCCCGTCATCTGGATTGTGGCAGTTCGAAGCAATGCTCTTTTTCCACTGAGGTGGGATGTGGAATAGGTGGCGCGCGAGCGCTGTGATGGTTTCGTTTGAATCGGCGTTCTTTGTTGGAGGTATACCCATTCTGGTCCCGGGGCTGGGGATGCTGGTGTGGAAGTGCGCAGCCTCACGGGGACGTTACAACTCAGAAGATGTGGTGATGGACTTATGAAGGAAGGATTTGACGCTCCTCACTACCCGGTGGGCCGCGGTATCTCACGCCTTTGCCATAAATACTGCAGCGTGAATGGTGGCGGCCGTTGCCTGTGTCGGAAATGGTGGGAAAACAGAAAGACATGGCGGCAGCCAACCCGGCGGTGGACGTGACGGCAGTGACAACCGGCCGCATGTCCTGATGCTGCTTACGATTTTTTTCACATAGCGCGATTTGCCCACGTCAGTACGTGATAACGGCTTCCGCTGAGAGAAACAAGCCCCTGAATGGCTATGGCCCTGGAGCCGTTAGCTGCGTTCGCCGTTCATACGTGGCCAAGTCCCGCCGCCCCCCTCCTCCGCACCTCCCAGCATCCCCGGGCGGGCGTCTTCAGCCGGCGGCTCTCCCGCAGTGCCTGTGACCCCTCCCCCCGGCCGGGCGTCTTCAGCCGGCGGCTCTCCGCAGTGCCTGTGACCCCCTCCCCCTGGCCGGGCGTCTTCAGCCGGCGGCTCTCCCCCAGTGCCTGTGACCCCCTCCCCCTGGCCTGGGCGTCGTCCGGCGGCTGTGCCGGCTCCACACGTGACACGGAGCTGTCCTCGCCGACAGGGCATCACCATGAGGCCGCCCGGCAACATCCTGTACATCATTCAGGGCGAGATGAGCATACTGCTGACGGCTATGCGCCGCGGGCCCCGCTGGTCCAACTACGGCAACCAGGTGAGTCCCGGGGCTGGGGTACTGACGCTGGTCCAACCACGGCAACCAGGTGAGTTCCGGGGCTGGGGTACTGACGCTGGTTCAGTCACGGCAACCAGGTGAGTCCCGGGGCTGCGTTACTGACCCTAGTCCAACCACGGCAACCAGGTGAGCGCTGTCGTCGGCGTGTGGACTCACTGCTGACGCGGTGCAGGTTTTGAACCAGATGAGCCGCTTCCCAAGCTGACCCGGCGCCCGCGTAGAGTCCCATATGTGATATCGGCTGGGTTTGTTGGGCTCTGTCTCTGGCACCGATACGGAGCCGTGCGGTTTCGGCCGGCGCTTGTATCACCCGGGTATCAGCTCACGCGGGAGGGGGGGGGGGGGGGGGCGACCAACATCAGCCGTCGCCGACCTGTGGCGACGGCCGGCACCGCGGGCCATGGAGAGCGGTTGCCGCGCGCTGGGGATCATGCACGCGTTCTGTGACAGAATCGTTATGCCTTGTAGTTACACCCGCCCTTACACTTGCTGTGTTGTTAAGCATGGATTATCTAGCTCCGTCATCTGGGAGGCGTGGTGGGCGGGCAGCGGGCCCTGCAGACGGGTTGTGGCGACCCGAGGTGTGCCCTAAGCTCGCGGCGCGCCGCTGCTGACCCCCCTCGGCGGGGCTCGTGTGACGGGGCGGCCGGTGTTTTGCGCAGGACGAGAGCCAGGACAACGGCTGAAGGCGTTCGCCGAGCTCAAGGTCATTCCTGAGCCACACGGAGAACTGGGACGACCTGGACCCGAGCACCGTCTTCAGTGAGTGCCGGTCAGCGGCGATCGGCTGATGACGAGACACCTGCCTGGGCAGCGCTAGCCGAGCGGGAGGGGCGTGTTGGGGGATGGGTGTGGAGAGGGGGGGGGGGGGACGTTACAACGGTGCCGTTCAGCGGAAAGTTGTTTACATTTTGGTTTGGTATTTGATTACGTAAGTTGCTCAGTGCAGTCGCGAGGAGCATTAGTCACATAGATAAGATAGTAGTAACAGCCTTATTCCTCGGAGAAAAACCAAGAGAATGGAGAAATAGATTGATATTCGGAGACATACCTTTATCGAAGTAATAGCAGAAGTGAATTCAAAATTGCCTGCCGATGATCCTGCCTGATTATTCAGGTTTTGTTTTTGAAACAGCAATTTACAGTTTTTAAAGGGGCGTATCAAACTGTTACTTGCTATTAAAAAAAAAAAATACGGCTGAAAATCGAGTAGTGATCGTCGGTGGGGAGTTTTTGAATGCACTTCTGTTATTGTTTCGATAAAGGCATGTTACCGAAATATCAACCAATCTAGTTCTCAATTCTCCTGGGTTTCTCCGAGAATAAAGCTGTTACCACTATCTTATCTTTGTCATTTGATTTGTTATTTTGATCGATCCGGATCGCAGTATCTCTGTGGAAAAAATCGAGAGACGGGTACAGAACGTGTGGCCAGCAAGCGCTCTGGGGGTCGATCTTCGTGCGCTTTGTGCGCCCCAATGTCTCCCCGTCACCGCGTCGTTTTATTTGCGCACACGGCATTGCGGGGCTCCGCGGACAAACCTCGGTGCCGGCGTGGAGGCTCCCACAGTGGGACGCGGCGGCAAGTGTTTCACGGGTGTTCGCTATGAACAGTTGCCCACGCTGCACAGTCGCCAAGAGTCGACCGTTTGTGACAAGTGTGTGATGGGGTCTGGTGTCCCGCTGGGGACCATTGCCGCCGCGTATATCTCTGACGCCGCGGATCTCCCCTGTGATGCTGCTGACCTGTGCCCCCCCCCCCCCTCTCTGCCGCGTGCGTCTGACGCCGCAGACTTCCCCTGTGGTGCTGCCGACCTGTGCCCCCCCTCTCTGCCGCGTGCGTCTGACGCCGCTGATCTCCCCGTGTGGTGCTGCTAACCTGTGCTCCCCCCCCCCCTCTGCCGCGTGTGTCTGACGCCGCGGATCTCCCCCTGTGGTTGCTGCTGACCTGTGCCCCCCCCCCCCCCTGCCGCGTGTTTCTCTGACGCCGCTGATCTTCCCTGTGATGCTGCTGACCTGTGCCCCCCGCCCCCCCCCCCCCCCCCTGCTGTCTCCGCGTAATGACGTCCGCTGACCGTCCCCCTGTGCCCGCCCCTGCAGCGCCGTTCCTGAACGTGATCCGCGACAACGACACGCCCGGCCCAGTGACGGGGCTGGCGCTGGCCGCCGTCAACAAGCTGCTCTCCTACCACGTCATCGGTGGGTTGATCGGTCGCCGGCCGCCGGCCGCCAGGTGGGCAGCACTGTCCGGCGGACGGTCGGTGCCGTGGCGGCCAGTCCGGCGCTGCCGGCGACGCTCAGTTTTGGAACTGTCCGTCGCTGCTGTCCGGTCGGCCGTCTCGGCGCTGTCCGGCTGTCAGCTGGCGCCGTCCGGCAGTCGCGCACTGCATTGTCCAGCAGCCATACTGTACACTGCTGTCTGGCTATCCCACTGCCTGACTTTCCGGCTGTCTGGCTGGCTGTCCGGCTGTCCAACTGTCTGGTTGTCTGGCTTTCAGTTGCCAGGATTTCTGGCTGTCTGGCTGTCCGACTATTTGGCCGTCTGACTGTTGAGCTGTCTGGCTAGCTGTCTGGCTGTCTGTCTGGCTATCCGGCTGTCCGGATGTCTGGGCGTTCGGCTGTCCGGCTGTCTGACTGCCCGGTTGCCTGACTGCCCGATTGTCTGGCTGTCCGGCTGCTCGGCTGTCTGACTGTCTGGCTGTCCGGCTCTCTGGGCGTTCGGCTGTCCGGCTGTCAGACTGTCCGGCTGTCTGACTGCCCGAATGTCTGGCTGTCTGGTTGTCCGGCTGTCAGTAGCTCTGTCTGACACACACGTCTGTCCACACGAGATGCGATGAGGTTCGCTCCGCGCCTACAGCACTGCTCGCCTTGAGAGCCGGCGCGTATATGAGTACCCGTCTGTTTGTAGGGGTGGTGGTCCGAGAACGGTATTCAACCCATACCGTGATATGTGCGTCTGTATCTCATCTGCCACCCCACAGTATATCATCCCAGTCGGAAGATGGCGCCGGCTGTGATGCAAAGTATCAGTATCAGTATGAGACTGTGCATCTGGTGCACATCCGAGCCTGGAGCCGGTTGCCCCTGTCGTGATGAGAATGCTGTATTTACACGTGTATGCGTCGCAGACCCGAGCCTGGAGTCGGCGCCGGCCGTGATGGAGAGTATCGCCGACGCCGTCACCCACGCGCGGTTCGTCGGCACGGAGACGTCCTCTGACGAGGTGGTGCTCGTCAAGATACTGCAGGTGCGACGCCCGCCGCCGGCCGCGCCTCTGCCGGCCGGTGCTGCTAGGGGGGACAGTGGGACGGCAGGCGCAGTAGGCGCTGTGTGGTGGGGGCGGAGCTACACCCTGGGGGCATCACCATGACAAAGGCCACAGCTGGTGATGCTGTTCAGAGTGTGGTTCACCATAGTTCGCTGCGAATAAACTGCAACCGACATAAATGCTTCATGGGACATATAAAAACAAAATATGACGCATTGCTCTGTTATAGAATTGGTTTGTGAGTGGTCAATCGTAGAGAATGTACGTGAACTGAATGAAGCTTTGAGGTTCTAATGGCCGTAGGCCCGGACATTGCGTTGTGTGTGAATGCTTGTTGTTTTACACCTAATTATTGCATTACTCAAGCCACGTTTGTTAGTGCGCGAGATTGAATTAATTTATGGTGTTTGTATGACTGAAGATGCACACTTCTCTTTTCCCGCCAGGTGCTGCGGACTCTGCTGATGATTCCGGCCGGCTTTCTGCTTTCCAACGAGTCCGTCTGCGAGATCATGCAGAGCTGCTTCCGGCTGTGCTTCGAGCCTCGTCTCAGCGGTACGGCGGCTGCCCGCTGCTCCCCGCCACGCGCTGGCGCCGCCGTCTCATGTCGCCAAATAGCACACACCACTCCCCGCCACGCGCTGGTGCCGCCGTCTCATGTCGCCAAACAGCACACACCACTCCCCCGCCACGTGCTGGTGCCGCCGTCTCATGTCGCCAAACAGCCACACACCACTCCCCGCCCACGCGCTGGCGCCGCTGTCTCACGCTGTCAAACAGCACACACCACTCCCCCGCCACGTGCTGGTGCCGCCGTCTCATGTCGCCAAACAGCACACACCACTCCCCGCCACGTGCTGGTGCCGCCGTCTCATGTCGCCAAACAGCACACACCACTCCCCGCCACGCGCTGGTGCGCCGTCATGTCGCCAAACAGCCACACCACTCCCCGCCACGCGCTGGTGCCGCCGTCTCATGTCGCCAAACAGCACACACCACTCCCCGCCACGCGCTGGTGCCGCCGTCTCATGTCGCCAAACAGCACACACCACTCCCCGCCACGCGCTGTGCCGCCGTCTCATGTCGCCAAACAGCACACACCACTCCCCGCCACGTGCTGGTGCCGCCGTCTCATGTCGCCAAACAGCACACACCACTCCCCGCCACGCGTGGTGCCGCCGTCTCATGTCGCCAAACAGCACACACCACTCCCCGCCACGCGTGCGTGCCGCCGTCTCATGTCGCCAAACAGCACACACCACTCCCCGCCACGCGCTGGTGCCGCCGTCTCATGTCGCCAAACAGCACACACCACTCCCCGCCACGCGCTGGTGCCGCCGTCTCATGTCAAACAGCACACACCACTCCCCGCCACGCGCTGGTGCCGCCGTCTCATGTCGCCAAACAGCACACACCACTCCCCGCCACGCGCTGGCGCCGCCGTCTCATGTCGCCCAAATAGCACACACCACTCCCCGCCACGTGCTGGTGCCGCCGTCTCATGTCGCCAAACAGCACACACCACTCCCCGCCACGCGCTGGTGCCGCCGTCTCATGTCGCCAACAGCACACACCACTCCCCGCCACGCGCTGGTGCCGGCCGTCTCATGTCGCCAAAACAGCACCACACCACTCCCCGCCACGCGCTGGTGCCGCCGTCTCATGTCGCCAAACAGCACACACCACTCCCCGCCACGCGCTGTGCCGCCCGTCTCATGTCGCCAAACAGCACACACCACTCCCCCGCCACGCGCTGGTGCCGCCGTCATTCCATGTCGCCAAACAGCACACACCACTCCCCGCCACGTGCTGGTGCCGCCGTCTCATGTCCGCCAAACAGCACACACCACTCCCCGCCACGCGCTGGTGCCGCCCGTCTCATGTCGCCAAACAGCACACACCACCACTCCCCGCACGCGCTGGTGCCCGCCGTCTCATGTCGCCTAAACAGCACCACACCACCTCCCCGCCACGCGCTGGTGCCGCCGTCTAATGTCGCCAAACAGCACACACCCACTCCCCGCACGTGCTGGTGCCGCCGTCTCATGTCGCCAAACAGGCACCACACCACTCCCCGCCACGCGCTGGTTGCCGGCCGTCTCATGGTCCGCCAAACAGCACACACCACTCCCCGCCACGCCGCTGGTTGCCGCCGTCTCATGTCCGCCAAACAGCACACACCACTCCCTCCCGCCACGCGCTGGTGCCGCCGTCTCATGTCGCCAAACAGCACACACCACTCCCCGCCATCGCGCTGGTGGCCGCCGTCCCCGTCATGTCGCCAAACAGCACACACCACCACTCCCCGCCCAACGCGCTGGTGCCGCCGTCCTCATTGTCGGCCAAACAGCACACCACCACTCCCCGCCACGCGCTGGTGCCGCCGTCTCATGTCGCCAAACAGCACACACACACTCCCCGCCACGCGCTGGTGCCGCCGTCTCATGCGCCCAAACAGCACACACACACTTCCCCGCCACGCGCTGGTGCCGCCGTCTCATGTCGCCAAACAGCACACACCACTCCCCGCCACGCGCTGGTGCCGCCGTCTCATGCTGCCAAACAGCACACACCACTCCCCGCCACGCGCTGGTGCCAGCCGTCTCACGCTGTCAACAGCACACACCACTCCCCGCCACGCGCTGGTGCCGCCGTCTCATGTCGCCAACCGCACACACCACTCCCCGCCACGTGCTGGTGCCGCCGTCTCATGTCGCCAAACAGCACACACCACTCCCCGCCACGCTGCTGGTGCCGCCGTCTCATGTCGCCAAACAGCACACACACTCCCCGCCACGCGCTGGTGCCGCCGTCTCACGCTGTCAAACAGCACCAACCACTCCCCGCCACGCGCTGTGCCGCCGTCTCATGTCGCCCAAACAGCACACACCACTCCCCGCCACGTGCTGGTGCCGCCGTCTCATGTCGCCAAACAGCACACACCACTCCCCGCCACGCGCTGGTGGCCGCGTCGTCTCATGTCGCCAACAGCACACACCACTCCCCGCCACGCGCTGGTGCCGCCGTCTCACGCTGTCAAAACAGCCACAAACCACTCCCCGCCACTCGCTGGTGCCGCCGTCTCATGTCGCCAAACAGCACACACCACTCCCCGCCACGTGCTGGTGCCGCCGTCTCATGTCGCCAAAACAGCACCACACCACTCCCCGCCACGCGCTGGTTGCCGCCGTCCTCACACTGCCAAACAGCACGTGTTGTCCGGATCACGCCGCCGCCGAACCCGTCGCGCCCCCCGCTGCTTCGTTAAGTTGTCGTGGCGCCCCGCTCGTCGCGCTTTCTTGAGAACCTGGTCCAGCCCACGCCCTCTGCTCGGCGCTGTACCGTGTCTCCCCGCCGCGTGCTGGGCTGGGGTCGACACTGCACTGTGGCCTGTCACTGCTGTCGCCACTGAACGTCTTTGAGTCAGGTCACCTTCCTGTAGCGGCTCCACTGCCGTCCACCTCTGCTGAACGACGTCACACCACCGCAGGGTCGCTGTAGTGTACCGTGTAGGGCCGCACAATGGGCTGTTACGAACGGGCTTTTAATGGAGCTGGAAGTGATATGCAAGAACTACAAGTGATTTACAAGTGAACTGCAATGCTCTGTCTTGGGCGCTTCCCGCTGTCCATTTGCGCTTGTGCCGTGCTTGTTAGATGCGTTGGGGATTTGGGCCGACTTGAGCAGATCTGCCCCCACCTGCCCTACCCCGACCTGCCCTGCCCCGACCTGCTCTGTCGTGGTCTGACTGACTTGGCCTCAGCCGAACCGGGCGTTGTTTCACGAAAAATGCACAAATCTACGCGCTTTTCAGTAAAGCCATAAGGGCTCCTGCAGTGACAACTGAATCCGACCGATGATCCTGTTCATCAATATTTGTACAATCTTCAGATCGAGTAGAATTGGCTTGTTTCCGGCTCCCATACTCGCACGATGCAAGCTTAAAAATACGCCACCTCGTACTTTCGCGTTATGAAACCGTGGCCCCGGTCCGACTGGCCCTAAACTGACCTGAGCTGATCTGACCTGACATGACCTGACCTGACCTGATCGCTGCCCAGAGCTGCTGCGGCGGTCCGCCGAGCACATCCTGACCGACCTGACCCAGCTGCTGTTCACCCGGCTGGCGGACATGGCTGAGGACGAACAGGCGTCCACCCTCTCGCGGGTACGTACAGCGCCGCCGCTGACCTGGCGCCGGCCGCTGATGACGTCACCGGTGGGAAGTCGGGCGCGGGCGCTCGGAGGCGCCGCTGTCGCTGCTGGCTGTTGTCACATGCGATCCAGGGACAACGCCCTCGGGTGGTGGTGGTAATAAGTAAGCTATTTTTTAATGATCGGAGGTTTGTGATTGTACCACTGGAAATGAACTCGCTCTTACTTGCAACGATCTGTTCTGCAGGCTCACTGGTGTATGGGTACTGTTGTGTCTGTGATATCATTGGTGTTTGGGGACTGTAATGCCAGCGCTCCTGATATTTTGTACCGGTCCTCATATTTGGGTGCTGACAAGCCGTGCATATTGGTGATGTTGATGGTTGCTGCGGCATCTGTGGCTGTCAGCTGTCGTTGCCGGCTGTGTGTGCTTGTTTCGTCTGAGGGCCCGCTCCTCCCGTCAGGGGGTGTCGTTTAAGGGCCTGCTCCTTCTGTGAGGGGGTGTTCTGTGAGGGCCAGCTCCTCCCGTCAGGGGCTGTCGTTTGAGGGCCTGCTCCTTCTGTGAGGGGGTGTCCTGTGAGAGCCAGCTCCTCCCGTCAGGGGGTGTCCTGTGAGGGCCCGTTCCTCCCGTCAGGAGGTGTTGTGTGAGGGCCCGTTCCTCCCGTCAGGGGGTGTCCTGTGAGGGCCCGTTCCTCCCGTCAGGGGGTGTCCTGTGAGGGCCCGCTCCTCCCGTCAGGGGGTGTCCTGTGAGGGCCCGTTCCTCCCGTCAGGGGGTGTCCTGTGAGGGCCCGCTCCTCCCGTCAGGGGGTGTCCTGTGAGGGCCCGTTCCTCCCGTCAGGGGTTGTTGTGTGAGGGCCCGTTCCTCCCGTCAGGAGGTGTTGTGTGAGGGCCCGCTCCTCCCGTCAGGAGGTGTTGTGTGAGGGCCCGCTCCTCCCGTCAGGGGGTGTTGTGTGAGGGCCCGCTCCTCCCGTCAGGGGGTGTTGTGTGAGGGCCCGCTCCTCCCGTCAGGGGGTGTTGTGTGAGGGTCCGCTCCTTCCGTCAGGGGGTGTTGTGTGAGGGCCCGCTCCTCCCGTCAGGGGGTGTTGTGTGAGGGCCCGCTCCTCCCGTCAGGGGGTGTTGTGTGAGGGCCCGCTCCTCCCGTCAGGGGGTGTTGTGTGAGGGCCCGCTCCTTCCGTCAGGAGGTGTCGTTTAAAGGCCTGCTCCTTCTGTGAAGGGGTGTTGTGTGAGGGTCCGCTCCTTCCGCCAGGGGGTGTCCTGTGAGGGCCCGCTCCTCCCGTCAGGGGGTGTTGTGTGAGGGCCCGCTCCTTCCGTCAGGGGGTGTCGTTTAAGGGCCTGCTCCTTCTGTGAAGGGGTGTTGTGTGAGGGTCCGCTCCTTCCGCCAGGGGGTGTCCTGTGAGGGCCCGCTCCTCCCGTCAGGGGGTGTTGTGTGAGGGCCCGCTCCTCCCGTCAGGAGGTGTTGTGTGAGGGCCCGCTCCTCCCGTCAGGGGGTGTTGTGTGAGGGCCCGCTCCTCCCGTCAGGGGTGTCGTTTAAGGGCCTGCTCCTTCTGTGAAGGGGTGTTGTGTGAGGGTCCGCTCCTTCCGCCAGGGGGTGTCCTGTGAGGGCCCCTCCTCCCGTCGGGGTGTCCATAGTGTAGTGATTAGTTAGCGCAGACGTGCAGTTAACGCGTCTGCTTTAGCTGCGCGTCTGGGGAAACCAGGGGTGCGGGGTTCGATTCCCCGCGATGCCCGCCCTTCCTGCCAGCGTGAGAGGCGGACGACGCCATAAAGCCCCAGCAGCTGAATGTGTCGTGAGAGCCGAATGACTAGGACATGCTCCCGTCAGAAGCTGAAGATGCGCTCCGGCGGGCTGGACGGCCGCGGCAAGAAGAAGGGCAAGTTTCCGCGGCTCAAGTACCGCCGCCGCCAGGAGTCCAAGGACAGGTCCAGAGACGGCAAAGGTCAGTGGGGTGACGCGTCCAGGGGTCAGGCCAGAGGGCTGACGGCGGTTGGAGCTAGCTGACGGTCGGGCCGGTCCCGTGATCAGGTCAAAGGTCGGTCAGGGACGTCTCCTGAGAAGAGGACGTAAAGTCGGAGGTCAGGCCATGACACTCAGTTGAGAGAGACAGGTGACCACATCTTGATACCAGCTGAAACTACCATGCACAAGACCCATCTGCTGAACTGAGACCTGGCTGAACGACCTCAAATGGCCTTCGCATGGCCAAAGTCGTTTGGGTGTGGCCAGTTTTCGCAGCCGCGACTCATCCTGCCCCACGCTGTGATTTCTCGGCTCGGAAGCTAAACTTCCCGTCTGACCGACAGAGGGCAGCAGCGGGCCACGGAAGCCGGACAGCATCCCGCTGGAGGCGACGGAGCCGCCGGCGGCGCCGGCCGACCCGCCGGAAGAGCCCGGCCAGCCCGGTACGGCCGTCTGTTTGCGCAGGCGCACACCCACCGCGAGGGTTTTATGTAGTCTTGAATCGCAGTTTGGAACCATCCTTAAGATGAGAACCCGAGGCCCGCCTCAAGATGCACCATTCGGTCTTGCAGTGCGGGACCAAACCACACCGTCCAGCTGACTGGAGGGCACGTGGTCTAGGCTGCGCAGACACCCATTGATGCTTTGGATTCTCAGAGAGCTGCTCCGGGTCCCGGGCCGGTGTCGTGCTGTCTGTGCGACGGATGCTGCTGAATTGCTCAGACTGCCTAAAAAAAACCAAACCTGATTTTGAGCAGGAAAAGTTCCAACTTTACCAGAACAACTGGACGTGACAGCTGAGCGCAGCGCAACTTCGGTCCCCTATTTTTGTTATGGCGCTCACCACACGGTTATTGAAAGCTGCTTTTTTGTGTGCCATTTTTGCCATTGTGCCGTGTGGCCTTTATGCATGTCTGTGCTGAGCAGCCACATATCCTGACAAAGCATCGCGAGTGGCGTCTGCTGGTATTTTGTGCCTTGCTGGATCCGTTTGTCTCTGGGCACGGCAGGCCTGAGTCCCCATGCTCGAGATACCGCTCGCTGCGTTCGTTCTCCATTCTCGTCGCCGTCCCCACCACACCACCTGGTGGTCTTCTGAACATCAGCTGCCCGGCCCAGCTGTGTGGTGGGTGACCCCCCCCCCCCCCCCCCCCACTCCGCCGGCAGACCCGGTCCCCAACGGCGGCGCGCCGCTGGCCACCACGCCGTCGGCGCCGAAGGGAGCCGTGGTCGACCTGAACCACCTGGACCGGGTGCGCGGCCCGCCGCCGACGGAGCGGGCCGCCGAGGAGGCCGAGCGCGCCGGCGGCCAGGAGGAGGCCGGCGGCGCGGCCGGCGCGACGGCCGAGGACGCCGAGTCAGTGGACGGCGCCGACTCGGCTAGTCTGCCGGACGGACAGGTGAGCAGTCAGTTGGGCGCTCTCGCTGGCCACCCAGGCCGGGGGACGCGTGGAGGCAGCATTGCGGTGTGGAGCGGTGGACTGACACCAGTGACGAGCCCCTCTCGAGTGGTCTGGTACCAGTGACGAGCCCCTCTCGAGTGGTCTGGTACCAGTGACGAGCGTCTCTCGAGTGGTCTGGTACTAGTGACGAGCGTCTCTCGAGTGGTCTGGTACCAGTGACGAGCCCCTCTCGAGTGGTCTGGTACTAGTGACGAGCGTCTCTCGAGTGGTCTGGTACCAGTGACGAGCCCCTCTCGAGTGGTCTGGTACCAGTGACGAGCGTCTCTCGAGTGGTCTGGTACTAGTGACGAGCGTCTCTCGAGTGGTCTGGTACCAGTGACGAGCGTCTCTCGAGTGGTCTGGTACCAGTGACGAGCGTCTCGAGTGGCCTGGTACTAGTGACGAGCGTCTCTCGAGTGGTCTGGTACCAGTGACGAGCGTCTCTCGAGTGGTCTGGTACTAGTGACGACCGTCTCGAGTGGCCTGGTACTAGTGACGAGCGTCTCTCGAGTGGTCTGGTACCAGTGACGAGCCCCTCTCGAGTGGTCTGGCACCAGTGACGAGCGTCTCTCGAGTGGTCTGGTACCAGTGACGAGCGTCTCGAGTGGCCTGGTACTAGTGACGAGCGTCTCTCGAGTGGTCTGGTACCAGTGACGAGCGTCTCGAGTGGCCTGGTACTAGTGACGAGCGTCTCTCGAGTGGTCTGGTACCAGTGACGAGCCCCTCTCGAGTGGCCTGGTACCAGTGACGAGCGTCTCGAGTGGACTGTTACCTGCGACGAGCGTCTCTCGAGTGCCGGAGCAGCGGCTGTGTGGTGCCGAGCCTCGCTGCCGGCGGTGGTGAGCTCCGCCGCTCCCCGTGCGCCGTCTTCTGGCGGCCGCCGGTGCGATCCAGCGACTGTGCCTCCCGTCCCGTCCGTGGCCGCCGGCCACCCTGCCGTCGCCCGGCGTCCCCACCGCCAGCCCGTCTGTGTCCTGTGTTCCTTCTGGACCTTACGCCACTCCCCGCTGCCCGGCCTCCTCTGTTTGTATACGTCCCTGGCCTCGCCCGCTCCCTCAGGTCCCTTGCCTCCCCGTCCCCTGAATTCTCCGCTCCCTGAGCTGCCATGGCCTCCCCCGCTCCCTCAGCTGCCTTGGCCTCTCCGCTCCCTCAGCTGCCTTGGCCTCTCCGCTCCCTCAGCTGCCTTGGCCTCTCCGCTCCCTCAGCTGCCTTAGCCTCTCCGCCCCCTCAGCTGCCTTAGCCTCTCCGCTCCCTCAGCTGCCTTGGCATCTCCGCTCCCTCAGCTGCCTTAGCCTCTCCGCCCCCTCAGCTGCCTTAGCCTCTCCGCCCCCTCAGCTGCCGGACCTCCGCGCTCCCTCAGCTCTCTGGCCTCCGCGCTCCCTCAGCTGCCTCTGCTTCCCCGGTCCCTCAGCTGCCTGGCCTCCGCGCTCTCTCAGCTGCCTCTGCTTCCCCGGTCCCTCAGCTGCCTGGCCTCCGCGCTCTCTCAGCTGCCTCTGCTTCCCCGGTCCCTCAGCTGCCTGGCCTCCGCGCTCTCTCAGCTGCCTCTGCTTCCCCGGTCCTTCAGCTGCCTGGCCTCCGCGCCCTCTCAGCTGCCTCTGCTTCCCCGGTCCTTCAGCTGCCTGGCCTCCGCGCCCTCTCAGCTGCCTCTGCTTCCCCGGTCCCTCAGCTGCCTGGCCTCCGCGCTCTCTCAGCTGCCTCTGCTTCCCCGGTCCCTCAGCTGCCTGGCCTCCGCGCCCTCTCAGCTGCCTCTGCTTCCCCGGTCCCTCAGCTGCCTGGCCTCCGCGCTCTCTCAGCTGCCTCTGCTTCCCCGGTCATGCCCGTGTGCTGCCCTTAACTTGACCGTCACACCCTCTCTGAACCTTCGTTCATCGACCATCTTTCATCGTGGTTCATCACCGGTCATCTGTATTCATCGCTGGTCCCTGGTGGTCGCCGGCCGCCAGCGGCGGTGCGCGGCCGTGACCTGCCTCGGTGCCCTGCCGATCCGAGCCCGGACTCGCTGGTGGTCTGCGCCCCCCCCCCCCTGGCGTGCTCGCCGGCGCCGCTGGCCGGCTGGGGTGACCCGAGGTCGTGTACTGTGGGTGACCTGTGACCCCGCCGCCCGCAGACGGAAGAGCCGCTCGCCACGGAGGCGGCGCCGCCGGCCGCACCCGGCTCTGACGTCACCGGATCAGGTCAGCGGCTCACCGGGAGGTCACGGGGTCGGTCGGACGGCGGGAGGTCAGAGGTCACACCCGAAGCTGTCCGTCCGTTATTGGCAGGCCAACGTGTTTGGTTTTTTGAAGTTTCGGTTCTTTCAGTGTTGATTTTTCCGCAAATTTTCGTTTTCAGCGTGAAAGTGCACTGTGATTCACAATTAAGTGCAGTCCTACGCTTCCTACAACCTGGCTGTTACAACACTGAATCCCATGTAAGGGCGTCGAAGGGTGCCGTCTCCTGCCTTTGACTTGGGACTGCTGTATAATGGATCGTCAGCACCATCAGGACCGCGCCTCCCGCCCAGCGCCGTCAGCGCCTCCCGCCCAGCGCCGTCACTTGAAGCTGCGTGTCCTCTTCTTGCATCAGCACATGTCAACGTTAATGTCCCCAACAAATTGTTGTTTACTGACTTCAACGTGTTCGATACTCGTGCTCGATTCTATGGCCATTACGAGCCCTGGTAAGTGCGTGACGCGTGACGAATACACAGACATTAACGTTCTGGATACATTGTAAGGGTATTGATGGGTAGGAGTGGACAGTGGTATTGATCAGTAGAACAGGTAAAAAATGACCCCAAACGGAGACTTCGACACAGCGAGCGCACAGCACAGAAACCAGGTGATAAATGACACTGCCTGACAGTACCTTACACTGACACTGGCTGACAGCGACTGCAATTAGTACTGACACTGGCTGACACCAATTGGCGCCGGCTGAAGTTGACACTGACATCGACTGACACTGACTGACATTGGCCGACATTGTCCCCGATGCCGTACGACACTGAAATTGGCCGACGTTAGCACTGACATCGACTGACACTGCTACTAACACCGGCTGACGCTGACACTGACGCCGACTTACACTGACACTGACACCGGCTGACACTGACACCGACTGGCAGTGTCTGCGTCGGCCGGCGTCTGACGCGCGTGTGCTTCGCCTCTGGCAGAGTCGGCGGAGCCGGCACCCGGTACCGAGGGCGAGCCCGCCTGCTCTCTGGACGGCGCGGCCGGCTCCAGGGCCGCCTCCGAGCCGCCGGCCGACGAGGCCGACGACGAGCCGCGCGAGAACCCGCAGGGCGTCAAGTTCACCGGCAGGGGCAGGGGTAGGTGCTGGGTCAGGGGTAGCGGCGGGGTCAGGGGTAGGTGCTGGGTCAGCTGCAGCGGCGGGGACAGGGGTAGGTGCTGGGTCAGCGGTAGCGGCGGGGTCAGGGGTAGGTGCTGGGTCAGGGGTAGGTGCTGGGTCGGCTGCAGCGGCGGGGTCAGGGGTGGGTGCTGGGTCAGATGCGGCGGGGGCAGGGGTAGGTGCTGGGTCAGCTGCGGCGGGGGCAGGGGTAGGTGCTGGGTCAGCTGCAGCGGCAGGGGCAGGGGTAGGTGCTGGGTCAGCTGCAGCGGCGGGGGCAGGGGTAGGTGCTGGGTCAGCTGCAGCGGCGGGGGCAGGGACACGTGCTGGGTCAGCTGCAGCGATGGGGGCAGGGGCAGGGGCACGTGCTGGGTGAAATACGGCGGCTGGGACGGGGATGCGGGCAGTGGGCAGCTCTCGTTGATCCAGCGAACGGTAACGTGCCGTGGTGGTGGTGTAGTGGTGAGGGTAGTTTGACGGCGTCTTGTTCTGTCGATGTGTGTCGGAATAGATGTCTGTCTCTAGCACGAGCCATGGTGCAGCGCTACCACTCGCTCACGCCACATGCCACGGTGTCGTGACACGGTGTCACCCGGTGTGCGCCTGCCGCAGGCGCCGGCCCGCTGGTGCCGTATGGCCTGCCCTGCGTACGCGAGGTGCTCAACTTCTTCGCGTCGCTGACCAGCCCTTTGGACCGCAACAACTCGGACTTCATGATCCACTGTGGCCTCGGCCTTCTTGCCGTTGCCATGGAGACGGGCGCCGAGCACATGGCTCGCCTGCCGTCTCTCATCGCTCTGGTTCGGGACGACATCTGCCGTAACCTGTTCTCGGTGAGCGCGGCGACGGACGCCGTCTCCGTCTGCGGTGGTGTGCCCTCTGCGGGCCTCGGAGGTGTCTCCTACGAGCCTCGGGGATGTCCCCTTAGGGCCGCGGGATGTCCTCTGCAGCCTCAGAGGTGCCCCCTGCGAGCTTGGAGGGTGTCCCCTGCGGGCCGCGAGGTATCCCCTGCGGGCCGCGGGGTGTCCTCTGCGGGCCGCGGGGTGTCCTCTGCGGGCCGCGGGGTGTCCCCTGCGGGCCGCGGGGTGTCCCCTGCGGGCCGCGGGGTGTCCTCTGCGGGCCGCGGGGTGTCCTCTGCGGGCCGCGGGGTGTCCTCTGCGGGCCTCGGAGGTGTCCTCTGCGGACCTCGGAGGTGTCCTCTGCGGGCCTCGGAGGTGTCTCCTACGAGCCTCGGGGATGTCCCCTTAGGGCCGCGGGATGTCCTCTGCAGCCTCAGAGGTGCCCCCTGCGAGCTTCGAGGGTGTCCCCTGCGGGCCGCGAGGTGTCTCCTACGGGCCGCGGGAAGTCACTGCTGGCCGCGAGGCGTCCCCTGCGGACCTCGGAGGTGTCCTCTGCGGGCCTCGGAGGTGTCCCCTACGAGCCTCGGGGATGTCCCCTGCGGGCCTCGGAGGTGTCCCCTGCGGGCCGAGGGGTGTCCTCTGCAGCCTCAGAGGTGCCCCCTGCGAGCTTCGAGGGTGTCCCCTGCGGGCCGCGAGGTATCCCCTGCGGGCCGCGGGGTGTCCCCTGCGGGCCGCGGGGTGTCCTCTGCGGGCCGCGGGGTGTCCTCTGCGGGCCGCGGGGTGTCCCCTGCGGGCCGCGGGGTGTCCCCTGCGGGCCGCGGGGTGTCCTCTGCGGGCCGCGGGGTGTCCTCTGCGGGCCGCGGGGTGTCCTCTGCGGGCCTCGGAGGTGTCCTCTGCGGGCCGCGGGGTGTCCCCTGCGGGCCGCGGGGTGTCCCCTGCGGGCCGCGGGGTGTCCTCTGCGGGCCGCGGGGTGTCCTCTGCGGGCCGCGGGGTGTCCTCTGCGGGCCTCGGAGGTGTCCTCTGCGGGCCGCGGGGTGTCCCCTGCGGGCCGAGGGGATGTCCCCTTAGGGCCGCGGGATGTCCTCTGCAGCCTCAGAGGTGCCCCCTGCGAGCTTCGAGGGTGTCCCCTGCGGGCCGCGAGGTATCCCCTGCGGGCCGCAGGGGTGTCCTCTGCAGCCTCGGGGGCGTCCCTGCGAGCCTCGGGGGTGGCTCCTGCGGGCCGCATGGGTGTCCTCTGCAGCCTCAGGGGTGTCTCCTAGGGGCCGCGGGTTGTCCCTGAGCCGGCCGGTGCGCCGCTGACAGACTGTTGCCGTTCCGCTGTGCCCTGATGCCGCGTTATCCCCGTGGTGGTAGTTTGGTGGGCTTTATGACCACCGCGTCAGAGTATTTGATTTTGTCTCTTACGGCACTTACCGGGTTTCGTCTCCTACGGTACTGGCCAGGCTATGTCTCTTAAGCTACTGGCCGCGATGCGGTGCAGTGTTCTGTTATGTAATGGGGCATTTATCTGTATGCTTGTCCGTGTGTTTGTGCATGATCACCCGTTTGTTGGCGTATCTTCTACGTGCCACGACCCCAGAAAACGGAAGGTCTCGGCGTGTTCGTCCGAGTGAGGGGATGCTCTGACGGCTGAGGGTCCCGGGTTTTCTGACGCTGTCCTCGCACCGGCTCCTGACTGCTCTGACCTTTGACGGCGGGCCCGGCGCCCGATGCTCCCTCTCCCGGGGCCGCTGCTGACCTGCTGACCCCCGGCGGCAGCTGCTGAACTCGGAGCGGCTCTCCATCTTCTCCGCCTCGCTGCGCGTCTGTCTGCTGCTGTTCGAGTCGCTGCGCGCCCAGACCAAGTTCCAGCTGGAGATGTACATCACGCGACTCACCGATATCGTCGTCTCCGAGAACCCACGCACCGCTTACGAGCAGAAGGAGATGGCGCTCGGTGGGTGGGAGGGGACGGGGTGGGGGTGAGGGATGGGGGTGGGGGGCCGGAACGTCAGCGAGCGGCAAGGGACGCACACTGCCCTAAAGGGAGGAGAACGGGGCGGCGCTCGCTGGATGGGAGGTTCCCTGAACGTTGGCCAGTCGCGGGGAAGCACACTGCAATCTAGGACGTCAGTTTTTGGTGTAGCTGTTAGTTGTAGGATGCACATGGCTGCTCGGTGTAGTTGCTACTACTTCTGCACTGTTACGTCAGTGGAGAAACCTGACACCGTCTACGTGGCATTGCCAGGCGTTTCCTGCATTTCCCTGAGGCGTCGTAATAAGAAGGAAGTGTTCTTTTTATGCCACACGGCCTACATTGAGCTCTATCTGCATCACGTATAATCCGTCAGTGGGCGTCGGACTGGTCATACATTGGCAGCCTCGAAAACGCCGCGGGCGGCCACCAGTTGGATGGACGGTATGTGGAAACCTTGTCGTCCCCGGCGGCGCGGCTGGCTGGCTGGCTGGCTGGCTGGCTGGCTGGCTGGCTGGCTGGCTGGCTGGCTGGCTGGCTGGCTGGCTGGCTGGCTGGCTGGCCTATCTGGTGGACCTGTCCTACTCGACGCGGCACACCACCTCCCTCGTCTGACGTGGCGGGTATCGCCTCCGTGTCTGTCCCGTCCCGTCTCCCGCGCCCCGCGCCCGGCCGGACGCGTCTCCGGTTTGACCTGACGTCGACATCGTCTGCCCCCCCCACCCCTACCCAGCCCCACCTGCGGACTTTACCCATCGCCTGGCTGTCCCCTCCAGACGCGCTGGTCCAGCTGTGGAAGATCCCCGGCCTGGTGACGGAGCTCTACCTCAACTACGACTGCGACCCCTACTGCTCCAACCTGTTCGAAGACGTCACGAAGCTGCTGTCCAAGGTGCGTCGGCGAGGCGTCGGTGACGAAATCACCCTGACGTCCCGTGCGGACTCCTGCCGCGCGCCTCAGGTGTCAGAGGGTGTATCTTCAGCCAACAGCTGACTGGGTGGCGCCGCTCTTCGCGGCGGTGCGATCTTGACGCGGCCGTTGTGACGCCAGCCGCAGAGGCTGTCCGGCGGCTTCAGGCAGTGATGAGCTACAGCGCCGGCCAGTTTGTGACGTCATCATTGCCACGTCACAGGCCGTGGTTGGTGCGGCTTGCGTCTGACGTCATTGCGTGTCGCCGTGATGCTGACCGCGCGGCCGCCGTTCGGCCAGCGCTGACAGCCGCCGCTCCGGCCCTCCGCAGAACGCGTTCCCCGTGCAGGGCCTGTACTCGACCCACCTGCTGTCGCTGGACGCGCTGCTGACCGTGGTGGACTCGATCGAGCATCAGTGCCACACGCGGATACACTCGGAGCGGCGAGAGCGAGCAGAGGCGCACCCAGGTGAGACGCTGGGGGGGGGGGGGGGGGGAGCATCAGTGCCACACGCGGGTACACTCGGAGCGGCGAGAGCGAGCAGAGGCGCACCCAGGTGAGACGCTGGGGGAGCATCAGTGCCACACGCGGATACACTCGGAGCGGCGGGAGCGAGCAGAGGCGCACCCAGGTGAGACGCTAGGGGAGCATCAGTGCCACACGCGGATACATTCGAAGCGGCGGGAGCGAGCAGAGGCGCACCCAGGTGAGACGCTGAGGGAGGGAGGAGGGTAGCCCCGCCGCTTGGCGGGAGTGCCACCGGAGGAGGCTCGCTCCTCGGGATTGGGTGGACTCGATGCGCTATGGCGCGCTACTTCTGGTACTGACGGCCGCAGCGGCGGCGGAGCGACCGGTCGATGGGGATCCCCGACGTCGGAGAATGGGGGGGGGGGGGGCGGGGGGTGGGGGTGAGGACAGACCGATAGAGCCCCCTACCTCGGAGAACGAGAGAGACCGGCCGGTAGGGTCCCCCGACCTCGGAGAATGAGGGGGACCGGTCAAAAGGGCCCCGACCTCGGGGTACGGGAGGGGGGGGGGGCGACCGATAGGGTCCCCGTCCTTGGAAAATGGGAGGGACCAGCTGATGGGGTCTTCCGACCTCGCAGGGTGGGAGGGACCGGCTGATGACCCCCCCCCCCCCCGACCTCGGGGGACGGGGAACTGCCAACCGCCGCGCGGGTAGCTGTCAACATAGACGGCTGTTGAACACGTGATTTGCCTAACTTTGTAGTGCGCCGTTACACGGTGCCCGTAGTGCGGTCTGGAATATGATCTGTGCAGCTGTGTTGTGGACGGCGCGGTGACGAACGATACGGAGCTAGCTTCTGAGAAAGGGTTAGTCGTCGTCCGAGGGCCCGCCCTCCTGACCCGCCCCCCGTCCGTTTTGGCAGGCGAGGCGGCGGCGGCGACGGCCAGCCCCGCCCCCGGTTACGACTATCCGGCGTCCGGCTATCTGATTGGCTGCAGCCAGCAACGGGCGCCGCCCACCGCTGACGCGGCGGCCGGCCATTGGTCGGGCCGCCGCGCACCGTCCGACCAGGAGGTGCCTACGCACGAGGAACTCATGGCCGTCAAGCACCGCAAGAAGGTGGGTATACTGTGCCACGTGCCACAACTGGGCTGACTGCTCTGTGACTCATGCATTTGCGCTTGTTTTCGTTCGCCCGATTCCTTTTTTGTTCAAAAAAGGAACGCAGTGCACGTCGTCGCGCCTGCTTCTGTGGAGCGCAGGCGACTGCAGAGGCGATGTCAGCGCTCATGGTCCATAACTACCGGGATTCGAACGCGGACCCCCACGTGGCAGCCGAAGGCGCTGACCACTCGGCCATCACGCCCCTTGTAAGCCCGACCCCAGTGTTCAGTCCGGGCTCGGGCGTCACTGGTATTCATGGGTTACGTGGTGTGCCCCACATTTATATATAATATTTTGAACTGAAATGGCCATCTTGAAGATCATTCGGTACAGTCCACAGTCCTGCTCTTCTTAAGACCTAAGCCTCTGTAGTTTCTGAGTTAGACGTCCGCGCAGATGTGCAAACTATTTCGAGGAGACTATTTGAAGGTCACCGTGTATCCAGGACGCCATAATGACGCCATTTAAATCCTGTCATTCCATTAGTCATGTGGCGATCAAGGCCAAGAGAAGTACAATTGTCGAGTTGTGAGCACGTTTTACAGATATTACGGCTGTTTTGCAAGGTACGATAACGTAATCAAACAATGAAATTTTCAAGACTGTATTTATTAAACAGAGCGATTGTGGTCTAGAGCGGTCCTTTCACTTACAAGTACACCAATAGTTCTGAATGAACTTTTTCATCATATCCCATACTGACGTAAGTTGTAAAGTGCATTTGCGAAGAGAGGCGGGCCAATGAAAGGTCACGTGAGCGCGACGTCAGCAAGCGCAGGGAGAAGCGGACCAATGAACGGCCACATAAACGTGACGTCAGCAAGCGCGGAGAAATGAGTGGCGGTGCTGCTGAGCAAACGCGTTGCTGCTTCCGTGATCAGCTGTCCTCTACTGTGCGACGGGGGTTTTGCGCGTGCTGGGGCTGGTGTCGAATCCTGGATACGGCCGGGCGGTGGTGACCAGCTTCACATTGAAAGTCGTGCCCACTGACTGTCGGCCGTCCTCATCAGCTAACTAGCCAGCTGAATGTGGCCGTCCTGAGTCAGCTGATGGCTGTTGCTGAGTGCTTCTGGCCGCCGGCGCGGTGGATCGAGACAAGGTGAAGGGGCTTGCTGACGTGTCGGCGCATGTATCGGCCGGACGGCTACAGGAGCGATCAGCCTTCGCCGCCAGGGGGCACGTGACCACCGTGCTGTGTGCTGAGTTCTGCGTGACGTCGTACATGTGACGTCATCTCCTAGCGGGTGACGCAATGTCTGCTGCGCTTCAGCTGCTGTCGTCCGGCACGGAGCACTTCAACGTCAAGCCGGCCAAGGGCATCCAGTTTCTGCAGGATAACGGCCTGCTCTCGACGCCGCTGGTGCCCACCGAGGTGGTCACGTTCATCAAGGTCAGTGGCAGTCTGACCCGCCACGGGCACGCGTAGCCGGCAACCGTCGCTGGCGGCGTCATGCCGGCTTTTTGCGACCCCGTCTGGAGGGGAAAACAATAATTTCGTCATTGTCTATAATGCATTGTTAGCGGTGACGATAACAATGGACTGTAAACTATAGCACTAAACTAATTCCGCGAAACTACCACTTAAGTAATACCACTAAACTAATACCACTACGCTAATTTTTATTGATATCAGAAGGCCTTCAGCTTCTGTTTTTCTCGGCATTATGAGTTGTGAAGCTTATGTGTTGAGTTAACGAGTTTGGGTATGTCAGGAGGCACTGATTTAATGAGTTGTAATGTGTGAATAGCGGTTATAATTGTGGTACTCAATATCGCGAGTTGTGCATATCCTCAGGAATGATTCAACACGTCCCAGTTTGTAGTGCAAAGCTGCTTAATGGGCCATCTTAAGTGAGGTCGCTGATAGTGAAGTTGTACTTAATATACAAGAAAAACTTGTAGCTTCTGGCTTTTCGACATCATGGGTCAAAAGCTCCTACATTGAGTTAACGACCTTGAATATAAAGAGGAGGTCCTGATTGAACGACGTTGCAATGGTAGATAACGATACTACTCAAGGTGCTCGATTTTGTCTTTATTTGGCATTACAACGTTGTTAAAGCAGTATCTCCAGGTACATTGAACGACGTAAACTCAACATAAGACATTTGAACTCATCAACTGTTTTTACAGTTGAACGACGAGTGAGGTTCTCAGCTTGACATTTATGCTTACATTGTCATTGATACAAATAGCACTCTCGACTTTATGTAATGTGATAAACGTGGCCACTGTTTGCTGTCCTGCCTCTGTGCCCTGTATGATGCTGGCAATTGTTTTGCTTGCAGGAGAACCCTCGCCTGGACAAGAAGATGATTGGAGAGTACATCAGCAAGCGAAATAACCTGGCCGTGCTCGACGCGTTTGTCAAGTAGGTGCCATCCCTCTGCGTCTCTGGGCCTGCCACTGACCGTCTCTGGGTCTGTCACTGACCGTCTCTAGGTCTGTCACTGACCAGCAGTCTTCTGACCTGACCTGTCATGACATAACCTGTCATGACCTGAACTGCCCTGACCTGCCCTGACCCGCCCTGACCTGCACTGGCCCGTGCGTCCATCAGGTCGTTTGACTTTGGCGGCCTGTGGGTGGACGTGGGGCCGTCTGCTGCCCTGACCTGCCCTGACCCGCCCTGACCCGCCCTGACCTGCACTGGCCCGTGTGTCTATCAGGTCGTTTGACTTTGGCGGCCTGCGGGTGGACGAGTCGCTGCGGCTGTACCTGGAGACGTTCCGCCTGCCGGGAGAGGCGCCCGTCATCTCGCTGCTCATGGAGCACTTCGCCGACCACTGGCACGTACGTACGCCGCCCCCGCTGCCGTGATGGCGTGTCCCCACCTGTCAGGTGCCATTGCTGTTAGCTGTTACTGATTCGGAACCGTAAGTAGAGAACTGCATGTTAACTGTTAATGTGCCAGGTTTAAGTTATGACACAAGCTGTAATTGCGCTCATATTATCAGGGAGACAGTTTTAGCAACAGCACTTTTCGTTTCCAATTTTCACTAACTCTGAAAGTATGTCGTGCAGGATTATTTCGGTCCGCAAGACGACGGAAAAGGCACGCACTGCATTTACGGTCAGTCTTCCCCTATGCAAAGATGCGTTTTTCTGAACACTGCGCCGCTGTCGCCATCGCGCGCCGCGTTCGCGCGTCTCCGACGGAGCGGCGTCGTCCTGACGGAGCGGCGCGTCCCCTGACGGAGCGGCGCGTCCCTGACGGAGCGGCGCGTCCCCTGACGGAGCGGCGCGTCCCTGACGGAGCGGCGCGTCCCCTGACGGAGCGCCCCCCCCCCCCTGACGGCAGAAATCTAACGACGAGCCGTTCGCCAACGCCGACGCCGCCTTCACGTTGGCGTACGCCATCAATGCTGAACGTGGACCAGCACAACCACAACGTGCGGAAGAAACACGGTGCCCATGACGCGCGAGGACTTCAAGCGCAACCTCAAGAAGGTCAACGGCGGCAGCGACTTCAACCAGGAGATGCTGGACGAGATCTACAGCCATCAAGTGAGCGCGGGGTTGGTGGAGGGGGCGGGGGAAGGGGATGTGGCGTGAGTGGCCGGGTAGGCCAGAGTACGGGCTTCGGATTGGAAGATTGAGTTGCTATCTATTATTATTTCGCCATTCCTCTCGATGGGGGTGTGATACGA